GTCATTTTTTTACGTTTATTTATTTATTTTAAATGCATACATTTGTAGCTTGTCAAGGGCCTGCCCAACATTTTCACCAGACAGATTTACAATCAGACAATCAATGAAGCATTTTTTATTTATTATTATTTGTATGTTCTTTTTGTAAAATTTGGTTTCGTGGTCCGATTGACCAAATAAATTCTTTTTAATTAATTAATCTTTTAAGTAAGGTATTAGTTGAGATGAAAAAAGTCAGTGTCACGAGCGGGATTCGAACCCAAAAAAGTGGGGTTGAGATGGAGAGTTGGTGTCCGAGTGGATCGAAGTCACGATAGCTCAACTGGTTAGAGCAGTGGCGTATTGAACCGAAAGTCGTGGGTTCGAATCCCGCTCGTGACACTGACTTTTTTTATCTCAACCAATACCTTAGTTAAAAGATTAATTAATTTAAAAGAATTTGTCATTTAGTTGAAACATTCTGACAGTTTATCTTGTAAATATTTTATTAATAAGCATGCGGTTGTTTCTTTCTTACTTTGACGTTTTGTTGAGGTTTTGTATGTTCATGATTTGAAATAAAGTCGTAAATAATAATAGAAGTTTATACCGAGAAGATAAAAGTTGATACAATGTAATAATAAAAATAATTATCTGAATGAAAATACATAGATGGTCATTTTCGTCAAATATTTAAATTTTCTTTAGTAAAAAAATATATTAGTAATTGACGAAGAAGAAGTTCAAGAAAAGGTTTAAAAGTCATAATTTTAAAGAAATAAGGGCCGATTTGATTTTTTTTTTTTTTTTTTTTTTTTTCAACTGGAAACTAGTTGTAATTGTTGTTAAGTAGGACGAAACCTTGGACGCGGTAGTCAAGTATGTGTACGTGATAACAATCACGGCTGTCATCATTAGGAGAGTCAGATGTACCATTTCGAGCCAAATGAACGACGTCAAGGAAAGACCGGCCCTTATCCCGTAATCTTCGATTATGAATTCAGAAAGCTTTCCCAAATCGGACAAATTGAGCCCGTTTAAATGCACGCGAAAATATTTCCCGAGGGTTCGTGTACCGGTGGATCGGTGGAAAACGGCAAAACGGCTTGTCGTGTCATTTGATATGACACCTTTTACTACGATGATTTCAATTTCAATGGAAAGCTATTTGTGTGCACTGGTTCTCTCGAGGAAATCAGGAAATGCACAGAAGAAATCTTTCTGGAACGGAAGCATTCATGCAATCCAGAAATCAGTTTTCTAACTCATGGGCAGTACAAATAATTAGAGACTTCGATACACTCGATCTGTACATTGCTACTCGCCTATATCTTATTCTAATTAATTAATTTAATAGTGTCAATTGACGTACAAACCTTGTAATTTCCATAAAACAATAATCCACTCATAAAATAATAATAAAATAGAATGTTAGTGATGTTCTCAAATTTTAAGGATTTTAAAGAAGATATTTCTTAGGAAGGACAGGACAATCTAGGATAATCATATTACATATTTAATAAAAATGAAAGTAATATCGTGTGTGTTTTTATGACATGACCATTAATTTTTACGCTGACCATTTTATTGTAAAACTAAGTTTAGTTCCAAATGTAATTTTAAACTTAGAATCTGCTGGTGCTGATTTGGAGAACAACTTTTTTTGTTCAAATGCCATATTTTTTGCACAAATTATAAAAATCCTATTCATCGTCAAAAAGTGATACTATATATATATAAAAGTGGGAAGTTTATGGGCCGACAAACAGCTGAGGTCATCGCCGGCCACTGCAGCCATTTCAGCGTCTCGAACTGGTTACTGACTCTCTGATTTTAAATATATACTACGTTGATGTTCTAGAATAGCCTATGGTTTGTACCTCAGGTTGCAAATACAGAATAAAAACAAAACATACAATACATACATCACCACAAACATAGATGTCTGGTCACATTCACTCCCCCAGAGTACTCGACATTCCTCGGAGCGGGGTTATAAGCAACCCCTTCCTTTCACGCTAATAAATTACTTTTCCTCTCCAGAAAAGTGGTACTAAAAATCAATTGAATGGTTTTCGATATACTGAAGTTTTCCTGGAGAACTCGATATTTCAATTAATCATGAACAAATTAAAAAAGGTGAAAATTTAAAATTTAATTGAATAAAATATGAAAGTTTAGTTTATTTTGATTTAAATTTTCATATCTTAATCAATTAAATTTTCAATTTTGGCCTTTTTTTAACCAGTTATCTTATTTTTTATTTTATTTATTGCATTGTACAAAACATACTGTAAATTTTAGACAATTTTTTTTAGAAATTCTTAACACCTCAAAAAATAGTTTACATTACTATATTTATTTACTTATTTATTTATTTATTTAGAAATCGTGAGATGCGGTCTGGTGTGATGTAGGTTTCAGAAAAACATTTTATTTATCGTGCCAACGTTTCGATCTTTATCGAGATCATCTTCAGGGCCTGGGATTTACAAACATTGTTTACATACAACAATTACATTTTGGATATGGAAAAGTGAATGTATACAATGCAAAATATATATATTTTTTTAAATATTCAATCAAAGTATTTCTACTCACTAAAATTGTTTGTCTTCTGTGTAATTGTGCCATTCTTGCGTGTCGTGTCGAGAGTGCCAGTGAGATGTTGCTATTTTGTGTTTATTGCATTGTATAAATTCACTTTTCCACATCCAAAATGTAATTGTTATATGTAAACAATGTTTGTAAATCCCAGGCCCTGAAGATGATCTCAATAAAGATTGAAACGTTGGCACGATAAAGAAAATGTTTTTCTAAATCCGCCGTCACACCAGACCGCATCTCACGATTTCTAAATAAATATCGATTAACGGTCACTAATCACCACACATTTCTACTTATTTATTTATATTTTTATTATATATGTATATTTATTTATATTTTATTATATATGCGAGTAGTCGTTCAACCAATGGCCTCAATTATTGGACAATTTTTGCCCCGAGGAATATCGACTATTTTAGAGGAATGAATGTGACAGGACTAAATGTGTAAATGTTTTTATCGGGTGTTGTGTTTAAGTTAACTTTTTGAAAGAATGTAATTTACTAGCATGAATGGAAAGGGTTGTTTAGCACCACCTCAAAGAAAGTAAAAGTAATTTATTAGCGAGAATGAAGTGGGTTCGACCCTGCCCCGAGGAATATCGGGGGAGTAAATGTGACCAGGCATCTCTGTCAATTTAATGAAATGACTGTAATTTATTAGCGTGAAAGGAAGGGTTGTTTAACCCCACTCCGAGGAATACGGAGTACTCTGAGATGACTATGTAACTTCTGGACTGTAAAAGTAATTATTAGCGAGAATGAAATATGTTCTACCACACCCTTACGAATATCGATTTCTCTGGAGGCATGAATATAACCAGACTTCTATGTATGTATCGGGTATTGTGTTTATATTAATTTATTGGAATGTATGTAATTTATTAGCGTGAAAGGAAGAGGTTGTTTTACCCCGCCCCGAGGAATATGGAGTACTCTGAGATGAGTATGTGACTTCTGGTCAGTAAAGGTAATTATTAGCGAGAATGAAATCCCTTACGAATATCGCGTATTCTGGGAGATGAATATAACCAGACTTCTATGTTTGTATCGGCTGTTGTGTTTATGTTAATTTATTGGAATGTATGTAATTTATTAGCGTGAAAGGAAGAGGTTGTCTAACCCTACCCCGAGGAATATGGAGTACTCTGAGATGAGTATGTGACTTCTCGACAGTTAAAGTAATTATTAGCGAGAATGAAATAAGTTCTTCCCCGAACTTAAACCTAGTACTCTGGAGACGTGAATGTAACAAGACTTTTATGTTTGTATCGAGTGCTGAGTTTATGTTTTTGCTTTATTAGCGTGAAAGGAAGGAGTTGTTTAACCCTAACCCGAGGAATATGGAATACTCTGAGATGACTATGTGATTTCTGGACAGTAAAAGTAATTATTAGCGAGAATGAAATAAGTTCTACCCCACCCTTACATCTAGCACTCTGGAGACGTGAATCTAACAAGACTTCTATGTTTGTATCGAGTGCTGAGTTTATGTTTTTGCTTTATTAGCGTGAAAAGAAGGGGTTGTTTAACCCCACCCCGAGAAATATGGAGTACTCTGAGATGAGTATGTGACTTCTGGTCAGTAAAAGTAATTATTAGCGAGAATGAAATAGGTTCTACCCCACCCTTACATCTAGCACTCTGGAGACGTGAATGTACCCAGACTTTTATGTTTATATCGAGTGCTGAGTTTATGTTTTTACTTCATTAGCGTGAAAGGAAAGGGTTAGGGATAGGAATAAGAGAGGCGGCTACAAGACCTACTGCACCTCGACCTCAGTAGATCAATTGTGCTCCTCGGTTAATTATAACTCACTAGCCAGCTTCGGGCTATTATCCAGGGGGGTCCCTTGGTGTAGGATCTTCCTCGTGGTTTTTCTTGTCCTAGTTGCAAGAACCTGCACCTACATAGACCTCCGCAGAAGGGGTTGTTTAACCCAACCCCCAGGAATATCAAGAACTCTGAAATGAGTATTTGACTATTATGTATGTATGAGTATTATATGTTTAATGTCCATTATGTAGGTTACAACTTTAAGTATAATTTCAAATTTAGTATATCGACTTAGTTTTCATATAAAAGCAGAGAGTCAGTAACAGATTGAGAGCTGAAATGGCTACAGGTTAAAACCTACTCATGAAAGACCAAGAAAAGGACTATAAACACGTAAGCCGGCAATGACTTCACCTGGATGTCGGCCCCTAAACTTCCTATTTATATAATATATATGTACATTTTACTATATACTTATAGTAAAATTAGGCGAGTAGAAATAGTATTTTAAAAGTGTGAATGATTTTTGCACTTCATCTACCAAGTTCGATTGTTGTGCTATTGTACACCAACACATACACATGCCATTGTCTGTTAGTCCTTTCTTATTTTATTAACTTATGCATTCTTTTTTCCAGAGGTCTCTTGACGCCGACCGAGTACAGGATGAGAAAAGCGGCCCTGCTTTCCGTTTGCTGACAGGAGAGTCTGGAGGCCGAAGACCCGCCTCCGGCCCCGGCCTCCGCTGACCTGGCCCCCAACTGAAAAGCCCGAAGACTTGTTCCGCGTCCACCCCCCCCCCTTGGGAAAAATCCTTCACAGCCAAGGAAAATGAAAGGAATCCGCCGAGGGCGTTTTATCATCGTGGTGGTCGCGGGTCGGCGGCGATCCTAGGAAATGGTGTGATCCCTCCCTCCTGCACTCAGCAGTTTGGGTCATTTCGACATCACGCGAGATACGCGTGCTCTACACAGTCACCTTCTTATAAAATTATTGCATCATTATTTCCATTCCGGAATCAGTAAACAATCCAAAAGGGGCGTGTAAATAACAAACACAAAAAAATTGTTAAGGTACGATAGGCCTTAAAGCAAAAAAAAAAGGTTTTTGATTGATTTAAAAAAAATACATAACTAACATAACTAATTAGCTGTATATTTATTAGAAAGCTGAATAGTTTCAAAAGTGTAGTAGTTCCAGGAGCAAGCCTCCCCCGATTAGACAATTAAACCTTACAATATTAATAATAACGAACAAAATCGATTGTTGTATTTTTGGTACATGTTTGTTATAGTATATATTGTTGTGTGTAGTATATGTCAAAATAAAAACCTGTTGATATTATTTGTTTTATTATAATAATTACATGTTCGTGTTTTGAAAAGTTTTATTAGGCAAGTAGTCAAATCTTAGTAGAACGGAGCAGAATCTCTTTTAGTACTTAGTAATATTTTTTTATGTACAAGGTGAGTTTAACGTATATTGCCCCAACATAACATTTTTCTCATAATTATTCGGAGATCGTGAGATGCGATCTGGTATGATGTAGATTTTAGAAAAACATTTCATTTATCCGGCCAACGTTTCGATTTTTATTGAGATCATCTTCAGGGCCTGGGATATACAAACATTGTTTAAATTTTACAAATACATGTAGGATGTGAAAAAAGAATTTAGAAAAAAATGAATTTAATAATACCAGAAAATTTTAGATTAAAAAAATGAATTTATACAATGCTAGAAAATTTTAGATAAATAATAGTAGAAAATTTTAGATTAAAAAAATGAATTTATACAATGTTATGAAATTTTAGATTTTTTTAAAAATGTATACAATGCTAGAAAATTTTATATTAAAAAATAAATTTATACAATGCTAGAAAATTTTAAATTAAAAAAATGAATTTATATAATGCTATGAAATTTTAGATGAAAAAAATAAATTTATACAATGCTATGAAATTTTAGATTAAAAAAATAAATTTATACAATGCTAGAACATTTTAAATTAAAAAAATGAATGTATACAATGCTATGAAATTTTAGATTAAAAAAATGAATTTATACAATGCTAGAAAATTTGAGATTCAAAAAATAGCATTGTATAAATTCATTTTTTTTATCAAAAATTTCCTAGCATTGAATAAATTCATTTTTTTAATCAAAAATTTTCTTGTATTGCATAAAATCATTATACTTTTTTAATCTAAATTTTTCTAGCATTGTATAAATTCATAGTTTTCACGTCCTATGTGTATTTGTAAAATTTAAACAATGTTTATAAATCCCAGGCCCTGAAGATGATCTCACTAAAGATCGAAACGTTGGTACGACAAAGAAAATGTTTTTCTGAAACCTACATCACACCAGACCGCATCTCACGATATCCTTATAATCATTGACTAACGGTCACTAAACATCACATATTTTTCTTATAATTATTTTTACAACATTATTTACCCAGAATTGAGAAAAAACTATCATCATCATCAACAATCAAAAAATCTCATATTTGAGGATATATAGGAAATTGTATACAGGACGCAATGTTTGTTCAGAAGTGTCACATTCCCAGGCTCCGTCATTTTCAAAGAATCTTTTAAATTTAACTATCTTTTACTTTTTCTGTTTTTTCAATTTGATAACTAAAATTTGCTAGCACCTCACGTCAGACATTATCTTTCTTTTGTTCGGAGCAAAAACTTCAAAGTGATTTTTATTCCAATCCACTGTCAAACCTTTTTTTACCGATTATCACTAAATTTTGTTTCCACTCATTAACATTTAAAAAGAAAACATTGATATTAATTTAATAATAGATTTAAGGACAGGAGACATGATGAGTTGGAGTTCCTTGATCGTGATCCTTGATCAGTTTGAGAGGACGTAGCGATAGATAATAACCCAGTTTCGATAGTTAAAAAAGATCATTTACACCAATTTCACCACCAATAGGCAATATATTTGGCTACGTGGGACGTTTTTAGATTCTCCAATTTTTTTTTTTAATGGTCGAAATTGTAAGGGTTTTTACTCAGTGTGAAATCATACAAGAATTTGTAAGTGTTAATGAGAGACTTTTATTATCAAAAAATGGATCTTTCCATTCAAACATTTTAATTATATAACTCATTAACGGTTGTCACGCATAAAAAAATTGCTGATAGACTGCAAATAGTAAAAGGGCCGGAATGTTACATCACATTAATGACATGATCATAAAACACGTTACATATACATATAGAGAAAACGCGATACATAGATTTTATATAGAGAGCGAGAGAGAGAGAGAGAGAGAGAGAGAGGGAGAGAGAGTCAGACAGACAGACAGACAGACAGAGAGAGTGAGAGAGAGAGAGAGAGAGAGAAAACGAGTAAAAAAGAAGGGAATGTGAGAAAGTAAAGATAGGGAGTGAGCAAGTGAAAATGAGAGAGTGAGAAAGTAAAAAAGAGAGAGCGCGAGAGAGAGAATGTACTTCAAAATTTAATCAAATACCTAGCCGAACTTAAATTTAGGCTTAGAACTTACTTGATGTCCACACAAGCTTCAATAAATACACTAGAGAAAAATACATGTATATAATATATACGTATATATATGATACATGAATAAACAAATAAAAAAGAAAGAAAGACTGGGCGAAAAGAGAGAGGGGGAAAGAAAGAGTAAGTGAGTGAGAGAGATAAATAAAGAGAGATTCTTATAACATGCCCAAAAAAGTCGTTCTTTCATAAATTAATTTTTTATATAATCTTTTTTTCAATCATTTGTTATATTCATATTTAGGCAACGCTTTTTTGCTCCTAAAACATTATGAAAAAGAGAGAGTGAGAAAGTAAAGAGAGAGAAGATATTTCCTGCACAATGAGTACAATTATCAAAAGAAACAGTCACGGTTATGTAAACTATTTTTTTATAATTTGTTATTCTCTATTTATTATCTAGTATTGTTTCACAATTTATTTTATTTTTGTAAGAATAATAATCGATATAAATCTGATTACCAAAAAAAAAAAAAAAAAAAAAAAAGCATAATGTTCATAAAGGATCGACTGTGTGAGGCAGCACTGCATTTATTGTTCGTGTCTTCTCTTCTTGTGTCAAACAACACGAATCGTAATTTAAAAAATCCACAAAAACAGAGGAAGAAAAAGACATAACACGATCGAAATACATTAACATAATAACAAATCACTTACAATACCTCACTACAAATCAGCATAACCTATCTCAACAAACATACTCCAAAACCAAAAATTTTCTCAAAAATAATCCTGACATACTCATTCTTTCTGCTGATAAGACCAAACAAACAATAGCAATCAGTAAAAAAGAGTACAGGGAAAAAATTAACAAAATTATCACAGACACAAACACATATAGCATAATCAAATCAGACTCTACTCCTACTCTCATCAAACAGACAAACAAAATTCTCCAAGAAACACTTAAACGAAAAGAAATTGACATATACACCTACAAATCACTTCAAAACAACACACCAACACCCCCTATAAATAAATTCACTTTTCCACATCCACAATGTAATTTTTATATGTAAACAATATTTGTAAATCCCAGGCCCTGAAGATGATCTCAATAAAGATCGAAACGTTGGCACGATAAAGAAAATGTTTTTCTGAAACCTACATCACATCAGACCGCATCTCACGAATTCTAAATAAATATCGATTAACGGTCACTAATCACCACACATTAAAAAATTGTGTTTTGCGGTTATGTTTATGTTTATGCATTTTCGGTAGAAAGAGTTTGTTTGAATAAGAAACGAACGGAGAAATACGTGAGTGGTTGGCAAAAAAAGAAGGTAAGCTGGATGAGGATTTTTTAGTCTCTTTAGAGAAAAATGGAGAAAAGGGAAAGAGAGTGGGAGAAAAAAAGAGAAAGAGAGAGATATAGGAAGAGAAAGAGAAGAGACGGACAGAAAATAAAGAAAGGGTGTGTAACAGGAGAATTCGGGAAAAAAAGTAACAAAATAATATTAACAAGGTTGCGAATAGGTTACACCCGTCTCACGCACGGTCACCTCTTAGCGGGTAGAAGTCAAAAACGCTGCCCACTCTGTGGAAACCCGGTAACAGTGAGGCACCTATTAGAGGAAGGTAATAAGTTAAGAGAGTACCGAGAACGGTGTGACCTACCATCTAATCTGGAAATAGTTCTTAAGTATAACAGTGACTTCAAAGATAATCTTATTAGGTACTTAAAATTGATAAATGCGTATGAGTATAACCACACGTGGTACATCTCCATTTTACAGTGTGAATGTATCTATTAGCGGGGGTGATGAGGTATGTCTGGGTGTGGCTGTCATAATTAGTTTAGGTAATTATATATTTGTAGTGTGGTGTGAGGGACAGGTCATCGCTATCAAGGTTGTAGTACCGAGATGCTGCGACCTCTCCAAAATGAATGTATTTATTAATGTGAATGTTTTGTGTAAATGGACGTGGATGTCGAGGAATATCGAGTACTCCACAAGACCGTCAAAAGGAAATTAGTCTAATGGATGAATGAAATTTTGTACTGTATGAATGTATTTATTAGCATGAATGGAAGAAAGTCGGTAGGATTTTGACTATCTTACCGACTTTTTATTTAGTTGTAGGGGTCACCTCAGTCGTGCACCTGTACTTTGAGCACTGCCAACTGTAGATTAGGTGATCATTTTCTTAGCGTGAGTGGGTATTGTTAGTGAGTCTGTAAATATTGAAATATTTTTAACAAACCACGTGTGGGATGGTAAGAACGAATAACAAGACACTCCTCACTCCTCAGTGAATGAGATAGGGATAAAGTTGAAATGAAACAAAGAAAAATGTGAGAAGCGTGAAAAAAACCAGGAGAGGACAGGAAAGAGAAGTAAGAATTAATGAATGAATGAGGTTTTATTTAATGTTGCAGTTGTCAATGTGGCCAGGGAGAGAGAGAGAGAGAGAGAGAGAGAGAGAGAGAGAGAGAGAGAGAGAGAAATAAAAGAAAGGGTGTGTAGGAGGAGAGGAGAAGAGTGAGAAGTGAGAATTAAGAAATGAATGAGGTTTTATTTAGCGTCGCAGTTGCCAATGTTTCCAGGGAGAGAGGGAGGGAGGGGGAGAGAGAGAGAGAGACAGACAAAGACAGAGAGAGACAGACAGGCAGAAAAAAACAAGAAGAGAACACCCTTGCAAGGAAAGGAGGTGCTACACAGCTGACAGGACCCGAACCGTTCTGTGGGATGAACCCAAACTATCAATGAGTATCTCAGGCAGAAGGACAAAACGACAATGAAGGAATAATGGAATTCACTCATTGGACAGAGACAATCCAAAATCTCCTAACGAATTTCGGAAAGAAAGAATAACAGAATGTATCAAAGGAAGCAGGAATAAACTGCCAATCCTAGCAGGATTCTTAACAGGACTTAAAGAAGATTGGAATGATCCAAGACGGCACATGCAGATTCTGCGAAGAGGCAGAGGAGACACCAAGACATCTATTGACAGATTGTGGTGTTACTCTTGCCCGCAGGAGGAAGTGCTTTGGGATGTACAATGTAACCATAGAAGAGATTCAACCACTGAAACCGGGCCTACTAATCAAGTTACTTGATGAAATTCCTTGACTCACCGGTATGCTTTAGGCAGAGGACGGGGCATACAACAGCTCTTAAAGGGCGCACTATATTACACCCGGATTCATACTTCTACATCTACATCCAAGTTTACTCTACTTCTAATTCATTAAAATTTCATTATTTTTAAAAAGCTTGTTTTTGTGGTCAATAGGTTACATCATTCGTTTTATATTTAACGAGAGAGAGAGAGAGAGAGAGAGAGAGAGAGAGAGAGAGAGAGAGAGAGAGAGAGAGACAGACAGACAGAGACAGACAGACAGACAGAAAAAAAGAACGTGTATGTAAGAGGAGAGAAGAGGAGAGAGAAGTGAGACTTAAGGAATGAATGAGGTTTTATTTAACGAGAGAGAGAAAGAGAGAAAATAAAAGAGAGGGTGTGTTAGAGGAGAGAAGAAGAGAGAGATGTAAGAATTAATGAATGAATGAGGTTTTATTTAATTGTATTAGGTTTCGTGGTCCGCTTGACCAATTAATATATTTCAATTAATTAAGGTTTTTAGTTGAGATAAAAAAGTCAGTGTCACGAGCGGGATTCGAACCCACGACCTTCGGCTAGATACGCCGCTACTCTACAACTTGAGCTATCGTGACTTTGATCCACTCGGACACTAACTTCACATCTCAACCCCACCTTTTGAATTTTCCCTCCTTTTTGGTGGGTTCGAATCCCGCTCGTGGCACTGACTTTTATCTCAACTAAAAACCTTAATTAATTGAAATATATTAATTGGTCAAGTGGACCATGAAACTAGTGAATTTAATAAGTTTAAATGAAGTATACCTTCACTAAAGCTGTCACATTTGAAAAATGGCAAAAAAGAGAGAAAATTCAAAAGGTGGGGTTGAGGTGGGAAGTTAGTGTCCGAGTGGATCGTGGTCACGATAGCCCAAGTGGTAGAGCAGCGGCGTATCTAACCGAAGATCGTGGGTTCGAATCCCGCTCGTGACACTGACTTTTTTATCTCAACCATTCTTAATTAATTGAAAAGGTTTTATTTAATGTTGCAGTTTTCAATGTTGTCAGAGAGAAAGAGAAAGAGAGAGAGAGAGAAAGTGAAAAAAGGAAGAGAGGCCCTTATAGCGCGTCTAAGCCCCGAAAGAAAGTCAAGTCTTTCATACATTATTTTCTTATATATTCTGTTGTTTTTTATTACTTAGTCAAGGCTCTTTGGCTCCTGAAGCATTTTTTTTCTCTTTATAGAAAACTGGATTTCAGGACAACCTGCTTATACGTGAACGTTTGGGTGAGTGTGCGCTCGCTCATGAGCACCTACACGTACGTAGTACCAGTGGCTCTTACATAAAGTTCATTGAAGAGAGGGAGGGATGGAGGGATGGAGGGAGGGAGGGAGAGAGAGAGAGAGAGAGAGAGAGAGAGAAGAGACAGACAGAAAAAAAGAACATGTATTTAAGAGGAGAGAACGACCTACCTAACGAAACCTAATGAAATTAAATAAAACCTCATTCATTCATTAATTCTTACGTCTCTCTCTTCTTCCCTCCTCTAACACCCCTCTCTTTTATTTTCTCTCTTTCTCTCTCTCGTTAAATAAAATCTCATTCATTCCTTAAGTATCACTTCTCTCTCCTCTTAAAGTAAGTTAAAGTAAGTTTACCATTACTTTATAAAATTCAATATGATCAAGTGTTCATTTCATTACATTTTTCCTTTAAGACATGTTTCATTGATTCAACAGAATATAAAAAATTAAAATTGGAAATGCCATAACAACCGGATTATTAGAAAAAAAAGTAACGGTTTAAAAAAACTAAAATGGATTAACTATTATGACAAATTTAAAAAAATGATCTTATGATTATCGAGATAAAAGATGATTACCAGTGATAATACAGAGATAGTAATACAGAGGCGTGGCCATTAGTTTCACGAGCCGAACGACCACCACCACCAGCCTTCAATTAAAAAGCAACAAGTGTGTCGGTCCAACTTCAGTCATCAAGTCTCGTTTCTAGATACAGTAACCGGTTACACAACCCCGTCATCTGCAGGAAAAACCTGATGAAAGTGAGTAAAGTTTGTGTTGTCAAGTTGGTGAAGTCTGAAGGAAAAACTGTAAAAACGGATTCTTTAAATCCTTCATTAACAGAGACTCAGGTGGACCGAAGTGTCTGACTAAAGTTCGCCGGAACGACGAAAACACAAGTTATTTTTAAGGTCCGTACAGTCTCGCTACTTCTTATCGCATCATTGCTGTTCTTTCTTACAGTAAGAACGAAGATCTAAATACCTTCCGAGATGTTTAGTTGTTTCATAATTTTTTTTTTTTGTACTTTCTGACTTGAATCCTAAACCTCAATAATGTTTTTGTTATTTAATGAGAAATATTTCAGAGGTCAAAAATTTGCAGTTTTAAAGTAAATTTTTGGTTTTTCCAACTCTGAAATGTATCCGTGCATTTTACCTTTGAGTCTTGAATACATTCGGAACGCTTTTTATTGAAAATGACTAATTAATAACATGAATTTTCGACTAATTTGAATTCTTTTTAAAGTTAAGCAATCAGCCTATGCAATTTTTTAAAGTGCAAGTTTTTACAACTTCAAAGCTGTATTGTAAGTTTTTTTTATTTATACATAAATACATATGTTTCTGTTGGTTCTTTTAACCAAAGGATTTTTTATTTTCAAATAATTCATTTTTGTGTGCAGTGTGGTTGAGATGAAAAATTAGTGTCACGAGCGGGATTCGAACCCGCGACATCCGGATTAGTTCCGATTAGTACAAGATTAGATTAATATGCAATATTAGTACATATTTTTAAATTTAATTTTATAAATTGCAAACTACAAATTGCTTTGAACCATGTAACAAACCAACCATCGAATAATAGGCAATGCATTAATTAATTATGAATTTCATAATTAAGAAGTGAATTTAAATTTAGTGATTTATTCAGCATTGGTCCGCCTGTCCACACTGTTTTCCAGGTTCCTGTCAGACCTCTTTCTGTTAGAGAATAATTTGTGTTTCTTAATGACCTGTTATTTCATAATTTGTGGAAGTCGTGAGGAGCGATCAAGAATAAGGTAGTTTTTTTCATTTTTTTCCCGACGTTTCGACCTTCATTCGGGTCATCTTCAGCGCAGCAAGTGTGGTGCTTTTTTTTTCGCAACAGCAGAGGTCATATAAACTCTCAGGGTGCCGGTGTTTTTGAAAAAAAAAGCCCATTTTTCGGGTTCGAATGCAGGGCCGCTGGGTTCGAACTCGAGACTGCCTTACAATGAGTGTCCTGTCAACGCCTAAACGTTGCGGCCACCGATGCCCCCTAGGTGCTATTCTTGTAATATCATATTAATTTTGTGTGAAAATGTGATACAACCACACTTTATGCCCTGAAGATGACCCGAATAAAGGTCGAAACGTCGGGGGGGGGGGAATATCAGGTATAGCTAGGGAAAGAAAAAAACAAAATTTAGATATAAAGTTAAAAGTAAGGTAATTATTGTCATACAGGAGGGTTGATCTAATGTTGAGTTGTCCCTAACGAGCAGTCATTACAAAACTATTGACTCTGACGGGATTCGAACCCAGAACCATTAGCGTGGTAAATTCGAACTTTTTGCTTCCTATATCTACTACTCTCTTTCTCACTCTCTCTCTCTCTTCTGTCCTATTTCATTTCCTTTTATCCTGCAACTTTAAAAACGTATTCATTCATTCTCTATCTCCTTTCTTTTTGCCTCGTATTTTTCTTTGCTTTTCCCTTTTTCTCGTTTGTCTCTCTCTCTTACTCACTCTTTCTCTCTCAATCATGATTTTGTTTTACGACGGTTCGCAACAGCAGATGTCATATAAACCCTCAGGTGCCGGTGTTTTTGAAAAAGCCTATTTGTAAATATGTCGGGTTCGAATGCACGGCCGCTGGATTCAAACCCAGGACCTTTACCTTACCGTTGCGGCCGCCGACGCCCCCTAGGTGCTATTCTTGTGGTGTCATATTACTTTTGTGTGAAAATATGATACAACCACACTTTTGCCCTGAAGACGACCCGAATAAAGGTCGAAACGTCGGGAAAAAAATGAAAATGGTTTATTCTAAACTATCTCATTTCTGACCGTTCCTCACGACTTCAACAAATTAGAGAATAATCTATAGAAGCAAATTTCATATTTAAGAAATCTAAAGAAACGAACCACGAACTTAGGAACTATACTTCTTTCATGAAATTAAAAAGCTGACAGTTAAACTTGGCCAGATCAATCTTACTATTCTTCAACTTTTTTCTCTCAAAACAAAATGGAACCGTTTATATTAATTATTCAAAATAATTCGAAATTTGTTTTTCGATTTCCAAAAGTTACTTGTGCATGTTACCCTGTTGTCTTAATAGTTCAAAAAAATATAAAGTGCCACAAACAACATACAAGTTTGATATGTATTCTCTTTAATGGATTGGATTAAATTTCATACCAGAGAGGTAGGCTCTTAAAAATCCTAAAATGATTGATCGATTGAATACCGCGAAACATATAGCACCCAATGCCAAGAAATCAAATTGGAAAAATAAAAAATAAAAATGCCTGCTCATAAAACATTATACTTCGTCTCTTATCCTGTCTAAGAACCGTGTAAGATCGATTTGCCAATCTACCTTCGGAAGAGAGGTGTGCGTGAGATACGATATAACTATGGATTTTTTGGTCCGGAATCGTATTTGCAACACGGCAAAGTACATCGTCTTATTTTAACCGATCATTGCCCGGGGTCACCGTCCGCGAGACAGGGGGTGGCCTTTCGGGAAGGAAGTTGAGAAATTGAGACCTCGCCTGAGAAGCCCCGAGCAAAAAAGTAGCCACAAAAAAAAAACAATAAATGTCACGCCATACCGTTAAGAGGGGCGTCTAATCTCCTCCTTGGACTTTAATCCCTAATGATAATCCCGTTCTCGATATTCCCGATCTTTCCGTTAAGAGATAAACTCGTCTGTAATCTTCCATAAAGCCGATGACTCGTTAAATGCCCGTTTAAATCCAAACCGGTAAAGTTTATATATTAAATATCATCAAATTTTTAAATATTTAACTTTGTGATTTCAATGATTAGATGATGGGTAGGAAATAAATTGTCTCTTCCACAACAGGCATTTATTTCATCAAACACGTTTCGGCCTGATATAGACCATCTTCAGTGGCTCTTTTATATAAAATAGTTTGTCGGTTTTTTACATATTTGTTCAAAAGTATGTCTGTACGACTGTAGACTTGCTCTGTATGTATTTTATACAAAAAAATTCACTGAAGATGTTTTATATTAAACCGAAACATGTCTGACAAAATGAATGCCTATTTTGGAAAAGACAATTTATTTCCTACACATTATTTATTATGGAATTCCACAAAATCAAGATGGATGCCATCAAAAAATTTTAATGATTGTTTGATATCATTGGACTAACTTGTTTTTGAAATTTGTCAAGAAAATTAGGTTAAAATTAAATTCTAAAATTTTGGCAAATTAAATTGTAATTAGGAAATTTAATTTTTTTTTTCTTTTTGTTATAGATATGCCAAGATGATCCTCGTAGAAGAAATAACTATTACTTTGTTCACCCTGGGGTTAGCGATGATTGTCTTTCCTGTGGAAGGTCAAAAAGCAAAAGTTGCGAGAGTGAAAGTGGAGGGGCATGGTTTTACCATACTGTCTAGGTCTGGAAAGCAATGCCTCGCACTTTGTAATTCACAGCCAGCTTGCGATTCGGCAAATTTCGACTTGAAAACGAGAAAATGTCGTGTCTTTACAAGATGCTCACCGACGAAGTTTCTTGAGATTTCACAAAACCACATTCACTACACAAAAAGGCCATTAGGTAATTTGATTTCAATTTTATATATTTTTCTATTTGTAAATTTTTTTTGCTAATAAATTTTAAATTTAGTTCCTGAAAATGGTTACGTATATCATGCTGAATCCGACTCCTGTCTTAAGCTTATGAATAAAGTGACCGATTTCGCTGAAGCTGATCAAAACTGCAGAAATCAAAACGGAAGGTTGGTGTCACTGACAGACCCAGGGATAAACAAAGAAGCTGCTGAATTGCTGAGAAAGGCAAACGCCCAGTATGCTTGGATTGGCCTGATGGACAATAGAAAAGAAGGCGATCCTGAGCACTCTGATGGTAAATTTTTTTAAATTAATTTTTTTTTAATTCTTTCTCAGAATTAACGTTTTTATTATAGGCAGGAGGGTCTCAGAAACGAATTACTTCCCGACAAGACCTCAGCAGGCAAGAAACGATCCGAAGAGAAACTGCTGGTCACTGTCTGATGACGGCCGGTGGGCTGAGCATTCGTGCAGAAACAGGACACAGTTCAGCATATGTCAGATAATGTCTTATTAAAATAAGCTATTATCTGATTTTCAAATTTATCAGTATTATGTTTCAAACGACCTTTGTGCCAATCTTTTATCTCAACAGAAAGGCAACGGGTATTTTCAGAGCTTTAAGTTAAATTAACTACAAGTGCGAATGGCATAAAAAAAATAGAAAATTTATATTTTTGTAAATAGAATCTTTAAAGGTAAGAAATCATTTAAACGAAAGCGTAGTCTCATAACACCGACAGAGTGGATGTGTTTTATTTATTAACAATGTATATGTATTTTTTTACACACAGTTTTATAATAAAATTTTTTACTATGATTTATGAAAGCATTTTGTATTATTTCATATGCTTATCTGTGTAATTCTGACTGAACTGTAAGATAAATAAATGAAAATGTTACTTACAAACTACAAAATCTATAAAACTACTACAAAACTGTAGTAAAAAAAAAAAAATCGGGCTTTAAAACAACTGCTGTTATTTGAGTTTTCAGATGATTCTGTCCACTAAAATAATTTGTAATTGCTACAAACGTAGGAAACCAGAAAATTTCATATCATTGCCTTTTGAAACTTGAAACATATCACTACTGTTGCTAACTGTTCATTCAGGATCAGAGGAAAGCATGGCTGTGTCTCTAGCAAAGGTTGCAAGGGGGTAAAGGATTAAGTTGGGATGTCTGAGGTATAGAGAAGGCATAGTAGCACTCAACCCCCCTCGACACCCCCGAACATCTACATAACATGGGTATGTACAGCGATGATCCATTTGCAGATTATGTAATGAGGAGGAGGAAACAGCTACTCATATCATCTTCGAATGCGAAGCAACAGCTCAACGGAGCTCCATGTTCTTCAGCGATCTGTCTGTAGAACATACCACCTCCCCGATGAGCAGTACTGGCATGTCCGTTGATATCTCCATGATTAGAGTAATGATGTTTTCTTATATTTCGACCTCAACAGTTAATCTTATGATTTTTCCTTCTTGAAGGTGGATCATCTTAATCATAGGTAAGGGATAATAGGTCATAATAACTCAAAAAAGAAAATCTTAAACCTGGATATAAGCATTGCTTATTCCCAGATTAAAGGATTTGAAAGAGACATAGCTACCAAACAAAATGAATTAAATGGNATCAAAAAACTAGATTCCATATTTTATAACTCAAAAAAGAAAATCTTAAACCTGGATATAAGCATTGCTTATTCCCAGATTAAAGGATTTGAAAGGGACATAGCTACCAAACAAAATGAATTAAATGGAAAAAAGATGACCTATTATCCCAATTTCAAGAAGGAAAAATCATAAGTTTAACCTAACATTCGGAAAAAACTTAGGGAATCAAATTGCAGCAGCAACATTCAATGACCTGATACTTCTAAAAAGGATTGAGTCTATTGACTGAACTAAGGAACTAGGAAGGTACAATAAGCCAGAAGGCTGCAGTGCCTGGGGAGTACAAACCCCGCTTCCTAGTATCCTTTTCTACCATACCATACTCGACCGTTGGCAAACTCAGAATAATTGTCCTCTGAAGTGGGAGCAAAGGATTAGGTACAAGATTTGGGAAGAATGCAGTTAATTTTGGATACAACAAAAAACTATTAATTGTTAAGTTTGGTAGTAGATGTTTTAACTGTTTCTGAGATTGTATTTATATGCGTGAATGCGTGAGAAACACAAGGGTGTCGATGGTGGAATAAGACCTTCGATCATCAATTAGAGTAAGTATTGTTAGTTTATATGAGTTAAGTGTGATGGGGGAATATCTAGTAATTGATATCCTACTAGAGTAAAAGGTGTGGTAAGAAAGAATGCATTTAAGAAAGAGCGAGAGAGTGAGCATGTTTAGGTTAAAAGTGCATGTGCTAGGAGCTCATACGACCCCATCAATAGCACCTTGAGCCCAACTTCAGCGATGGTATGGATAAGGCAGAGGTCTGACCCAGAGCATCAAAACACTTGAGTGGGTGATTCTCATTATTCAATTTTTTTTTAAATCCCACGTATTAAATAGATTTTATAGTTACAACAAAGCATCCTGAATGAACAGTTTGTAACAGTTGTGAGTTTAGAAATCAAAGCCAAAAATGACCTGCTGTCTATATACTGGCAGTAATAAGATCAAAATAACCTATGGATCACTAATCTGATGGACCAAAGCTCAACAAAAACTAGCTGCCCAAACAATAGGTAGCATAGAAAGATTAGCAAACCTATGAATCACAGGGACAGAACAACCATCAAAGTGCATTAGAAACTCTGATAAACCTACCTCCACTGGAAACATTCATATAACGAGAGGTTAGAAAAAGCTCATTTTGTCTCTGAAAACAATCAAATTGGATGGGAACTAAACAATTCGAGTACACAACCATAATAAAATCAGAAACCCATTCGAAGAAATGAGAACTGACTATAGGATCCCGAAACATTGTTTACTGTATCCTATAAAGTCTCAACAGATTGGCAGAGTGGAAGAACTCAGTACAGAACACTTGCTATGGTGTAAAGATGACTATAAAACAATCGAAGGCACGGGATGGGTGTTTTTTGTACAAGCCCAAAATATGAGCAGTTAAACTCATGGAAAATCTTAAAAGAGGTTACACCGGCAAAACAAATCCTCATAACATCTGACAGCCAAGCAGTTATTTAAAGCATTATTATGTAAAAAAATGATCCAAAATCTCCAAAACCTGCGGAAACACAACTTGATATTTTGGGTGCCAAAGAAATTTTGGGTAACAGCAGACATACTGTCCAGAGGAGGATCTGCAAGACCATATACAGGCCCTGAACCTATATTTGGGATAACAAAAACAAACACAGAATCCTCCATCATCGAATAAATCCAAAAAAAGACAAAACGAAAAGTGGATAAACTCTAGGAGTGCTCAACACAGTAAACATCGCTAAAACAACCCTCAACAAGACTGGCAAACTCACTGCTGCAGTTGATAAGGGCCCAGACTCAAAGAAGTAATTAACCTATTAAAATATAAAATAAGACATCAATACATTCTGTTTTGCTCACAAACGTGTCCGGCATGTACAGAAATGTATCCACCTAATTGAACGGGCAACTCCTTGGCTCTATATAGAGACAGGACTGCACGTGGCATGAGAATTGTGCTTGAGCCGCGAGTAAGACCCCTGTTCTGATTCTTGGAGGAAACAGGATTGTTTTATCTGTAAGTACTGATACGTGTTTTGAGTGAATGTATTTACTGTAGTGAATGTGTAGTATGAGTGGACAAATGGAGGAATATTTAGTACCCCATTGTTGGCATATAAATAAGAAATAATATATTTAAGAGTGAGAGTGTGAATGGGAGACTACATTGGGGGCTGACGCTATCGTGACCTCGATCCACTCGGACATCAACTTGATGGACCTTTTGGTGGCAAAAAGGAGGGAAAATTCAAAAAGGTGTGGTTGAGATGGGAGGTTGGTGTCCAAGTGGATTGAGGTCACGGCAGCTCAAGTGGTAGAGCAGCGGCATATCAAGCCGAAGATCGTGGGTTCGTATCCCGCTCGTGCCATTGACTTTTTTATCTCAACTGAAACCCTTAATTAATTGTAAGATATTAATTGGTCAAGCGGACCACGAAACTAGTGATTTGAATAAGTTTAAAATGAAGTATACCTTCACTAAAGCTCTCCGTGGCCATTTCATTTGTCGCCGAGAATCAAATTGATTACACATTTGAAAAATGGCAAAAAGGAGGGAAAATTCAAAAAGGTGTGGTTGAGATGGGAGGTTGGTGTCCGAGTGGATCGAGCTCAACGATAGCTCAAGTGGTAGAGCAGCGGCGTATCAAGCTGAAGCTCGTGGGTTCGAATTCCGCTCGTGCCATTGACTTTTTTATCTCAACTGAAAACCTTAATTAATTGTAAGATATTAATAGCCCTTAATCAACCTCGGTTTCTTGACGGATAAGACTAGAATCACCTTGGAGTGTCAACACCCTGGGGTGGGTAATTCTCAAGCCCTGTTCGTAATTTTTATTTTTATCCTGTTTTTTCTCTTTTACCTCCTGAAATAAAAAATAATAAAGTGATAGTAACAATAAATAAATTTATTGATATTAAATAATCTGGAAGAGAAAAAATTCAGACACACCTATAGCACCAGAAATTTTTTTTCTCTTGATAAAATTGGTAGCCACTTGATTCCTAAAGCTGTTCTCAATGCACAAAAATCACTAAACACGAGAATCACTTGTGAAACAGCCGTCTTGGGTTAGCCATTTCCAAGAAAAAAAAACATTTTGCAACATAGAGGCCAACAAGATGAGCCATCAGGTTGCACCAGACAAGCATGCCCATCATATCTGCACCTACTGCAGCATCACTGATATCATGGCGATATACATTAAGAATAACAAGAAAACCAAACAAAGCAAACCCCAGATCCTCTATCTTGCTCTTTTTATGGCAAAAATAGATAGCACTGACACAGTTGGATAAGGATAAAAAACTGACAGCCTGTCAGCTCACCCTGAAACATCCTCGTACCCGGCTAGGATACGATACTCAGATATTCGCGAAACAGTTGTACAAGTGATTTTCGTGAAATGGAAACCCAATGTTTTGAAATTTATTCGAAAGATAGATTTTTATAATTAAAAGTAAGGATTGATTCATGTAGGAATTTCTAATTTAAAAAAAAAAGTCATCCATTTCTTTGCAAGCTATACTTTAAAAAGTTGATAAATAATTAAGATTAACTTTTTAAACAATTTGAAAAGATTAACTTTTTAAACAATTTTCAATTAACTTTTTAACAGTTTTTATTCTCAGTTCAACCAGTATTCTAGTATAACAAAAAAAATCATTTTTTTGGGTAAACATTAAATTACATACAAATAAAAATAAAAGCTCATCGGTTTACATTTACTTATTACGACGAAATACATCAAAATGGGCTTAAATGCGGTAACATGTACATTGTAGAGTTTTAAACATCCCTTTTTTTTAAATAATACGTCATACCATTAAAAAATGGAAGGCACTTAATAAATAACATCACATTAAACTATGTACTGCGAGCAATATATATAAATATATTTAAAAAAGAAAAACTAAAAACGTTGCCATTTTAAATATTGAAGTTATGTGGTCATTTAACCATTTGAGTTTTGTGATAAATGGCACGTCAACATTAATGTAGCAAAATTAAATTGTTTAATGTGTATTTGCAATTAAGCATTTTGTCAAAAAAAAATTGGAATAACACAGCTTATTTTTTAATAAAAATATAAGAAAGTTATGGAAAATGTAATTTTTTCAGGATGAACTAGTTGTACATGACAGGAATTTAAAAAGTATTTCTTCAGTTATAATAAAATAGAAAAGTTTATAGAAAAAAATCTAAAAAGAAACAATAGCTATGTAATACCTAAATAATTAAAAACATAATATAAAATTATGCCCCTTTCATAACTCCTCTTATATTTTAGACATATTCCATTATGGGACTGGTTCTGGAAACTTAAACATTAGTCAACAGCTGCAGGAAGTTCAAAACGATCAACTTGAGTACAATATTACATTTTGGCAAATTAAAATAATTTAACTTTTATTATAAAAATATTCAACCACCGTTTGAGCCTAGTGATTCTTTTGTAACTCTGTGATGAATTGAGGAGTTGAAATAACAGTAGATAGATCAAAGGGACCCTATATACACACTCACACACACAAAGAAGATGTGGCCAAAATTGTTACAAATAGAATGAAAATTAAAATCCATGTCACTCTTTTTATTATTATTTTTTAATCTTTAATTTCAACTTAACATTATTGACATGTAATCTGTACAATTCGATCCGAATTTTTTTTCACTTTCTCCTCAATCTCCACCGTTAAATCATACACTACCAATAATTACCATATTTACATAAAATATTTTCCATTTATCAATTTTTAAAATAAGGAACAGTTTCTGTTTACACTTGATTCTCTTCAAACAAATGAAAACTGGTTTCACAATGTAATATTTTTGTAATTCATGTATTTGTTTTTTGAGCTGATGATAGCGGCTCGCAGTGCTTTACCGTCCCAAGGGCTTGCCTCCAAAATTGAATGACGTCGGTACTGTCTGAGTGACAAAGTTATAACCTGAAAGACAACACCAATTAATATTTTTTACAAACAATTAAAAAATTTAAGGGGGACCACCACTTCAAAAGTCTTTTCATTCTTATTATTATTCACTAGTTTTTGTAGTCGCTTGACCAATTAATATCTTTCAATTAATTAAGGTTTTTAGTTGAGATAAAAGTCAGTGTCACGAGCAGGATTCGAACCCACGATCTTCGGCTAGATACGCCGCTGTTCTTGAGCCATCGTGACCTTGATCCAATCAGACATCAACTTCCCATCTCTACCCCACCTTTTCAATTTTCCCTCCTTTTTGCCATGCCCAGAAAAGGTGGGGTTGAGATGGGAAGTTGATGTCCGAGTGGATCGAGGTCACGATAGCTCAAGTGGTAGAGCAGCGGCGTATCTAGCCGAAGATCGTGCGTTCGTATCTCGCTTGTGACAATGACTTTTTATCTCAACTAAAAACCTTAATTAACTTATTATTATTACTATTGTCAGTGATCATACTTTTCTGACCTGACTTAAGAGTGGCCAGTGGGAGGGGAGCCAAGTAGTGACGTGCGAATATTATTATTCGATAGAAGTACTGTATCGAGTCCTTTTTGAGGTATTGGAAAATATACTCAAATAGATTTTTCTACAAATTGTTATTTTCCGTTGGAAACTTACCTCTCATTAAACTGGGAGTGGACTAGTTACTTGTTAAGAGCGCCTACTAGCGGCATGTGTCAACAAAGTTAATCGAGATTTTTAATTGGTGGTTGGTAACTGCTGATAATTCTGGTAATAACTCATAATTCTTTACCTCGTCGCACCTTACACTTTCAATTTCAGAAATTTCTTATAAAATGTTTTTGTCTTCAAGTGAATACAGTGGAAATAGTGAGATTTAATCAGTATTATTTCTTGACATTTGAAAACCAAACACCCGTTGATCAATTTTCTGAAAGACTCGATAACGATAAAATTGAAATATTAATTATGTTGAAATGTGTTGACAGCTTTTCCTTGTTCCTACCTACATACCTGCTGTAGCTATGTAGGTATGCTACATACCTACAACCTCAAACAAAGGTTGAGAAATCCCGAGTTCTCCGCAGTTGAATTATTTTATTTAATTTTGTCTATTACATGGACGTTACAGGCTTAGGGCCCATCATCAGATAATCACGGAAAACCTCATGGTACAATTGCCATCCGAAGATACACACATAAGTAATTTACATTTTTTTTTTTTTTTTTAGTGAATATACCTGGACTATACCATAGATAAAAATACAGGGTGGCCCCAATTAATTCAGCCACACTTCTAGATCTTATAGGAAATTGTACGCTGAGTAAAAAAGGTCCTATGAACCTGTGTCCACAAACCCTTCAGTTCCAAGCTACAGACAAAAAAACCATGAAAAACCTCGTTTTTGGACTTTTGTGAAATTGTTAGTAAACCGTTAGCCTGACTGTAAACCAGCTTGAAAAAACATCTGTAGAAGATTAATTTCTGCATCGAATGAGATTAAAACCAGCCTGATCGGCCAAAAATTTCATTTTTGGCAATTTTTCGAAGTTTTTTATTTTTATCGAAAATTCACAACTTGAACTGTTTTCTGATGGGTACCCCCTACTGAATGCAATAATGTACGAAAAATCTGTACGGCTTACCCATCAGAAAACAGTAACATTCGATTTCGGTGAAAAGCAGTAAATTAGCTAAAATTCGAATGTTTCATGAATCGGACAGGGGTTGGTCTAATGTGACGGAGAATTCGATCACCAACAAATGAGGTTTGTAACGGAGAATTTTCTGATAGGGTGTTCAAGTTGTGAATTTTCGATAAAAATGTCAGAAATGGTGAATTTTGAACCCATCACCTCCTAACTTTGAAAAATCGCCAAAATGAAATTTTTGGCCGATCAGGCTGGTTTTAATCTCATTCGACGCAGAAATTAATCCTCTACAGATGTTGTTTCAAGCTGTTTTATGGTCAGGCTAACTGTTTACTAACAATATCACGAATAAGGTCAAAAAACGTGGTTTTTGATGGTTTTTTGCCTGTAGCTCAAAACTGAAGGGTGTGCAGACACAGGTTCATTCTTTTTTTACTCAGCGTTCAATTTCCTATAAGATCTGGAAGTGTAGCTGAATCGATTAGGGCCACCCTGTATATTTTGGGATAGTGGCCGAGGGTATATATAAAAAGAATTTCATTATCACGTGTTGTACCCATGGTGGGACTAAAATAAAATTATTGTTGTTATTACAGTTTTTAAAACCATTTTGACAACATCCCCCTCAAAATGGGGTGGAAATATATATTTATCTATGGCATAGTCCAGGTATATATATTTTTTTTTTAATTGTAAATTACTTATGTATCTTTGAATGGCAATTGTACCATGTTTTCCACATTTAGGTTCTGATGGTGGTAGGTTGTAAGCCTGAAACATCCATGTAATAATTAAATAAAATGTGTAGAGATTAGTGACCGTTAATCGATAGTTATTCAGATATCGTGAGATGCGGTCGGGTGTGATGTAGGTTTCAGAAAAACATTTTCTTTATCGTGCCAACGTTTCGATCTTTTATTGAGATCATCTTCAGGGCTCAAAGTGTTGGTCTTCTGTGTAATTGTGCCATCCTTGCGTGTCGTGCACTCTCAACATGACACACAAGGATGGCACAATTACACAGAAGACAAACAGTTTGAGCCCTGAAGATGATCTCAATAAATGATCGAAACGTTGGCACAATAAAGAAAATGTTTTTCTGAAACCTACATCACACCCGACCGCATCTCACGATATCTGAATAACTATTAAATAAAATATTTCAACCACGGAGAACTTAGGATTTTTCAACCTTTGGATAATAATTGCTACGAACCGTGGATTTTAAGAAAAAGATGACCCACTGTATTAAAAAATACTAAACAATAAAAAAATGCAATTTCTTGATTATTTTAACTGAAGTCCACAATAGTAGGTTGATTATGAATAAACGTAATGAGTAAGTACTCGTTAGTATCAAATAATTTCTGTCGATACTTTAGTAGTATCTAATATCTTTTTAGTTAGAGTGTGATTCCAGCCCCCGTTAAGAAACATTGACCGGTATTGTGTGGAGGTTTTCTTAATTGGTATGGTCACAAATATTTATAATTTGAAATAGATCTATTTAATTTTAAATTCAATCTGGTTCAATTCAATTTTGTTTTTCTTTTTGGTTAATATTATACTATAATCAGTGAGGGTTCTTTTTCTTTCTTTTATTTTTCCGATTCTTCCTTCTCGCAAAGTGGACTGCCTCTGGCTATCCTCTCCGAAAATAAAGCTTCTATTGGGCTAGAGCAGTGGTCGGCAAACCGCGGCTCTTTGACTTCTTAGCAGCGGCTCTTTCACTAAATGTTTAGTGCAGACACGGAGTGAAAAGTATTACAGGTGCAAGAAATGGGATTGTCGCTATTTATAAAGAAAAAATTAATCATGTATTATTCATCAGGAAGCACTATGTGCTCAGACATTTCCTGAAGAAATTTGCTCAGCAGGTGACTGGTCAGGCTTTAGGAACAACAAAGCGACGCTAGCCTTTGTTTAAAAAATTTTTTTTGCTCTTTATAATATTGATATTGGCAGCTTTGTAATTTAAAAAACAATGAATTTTGGAGCTCAAAATTCGAAGCGTCTTTAAACCGATTTACAGCTATTGGTGAAAAATAAATGTGAATTAAGTTTACAGTACAAATGGTCTGCTTTGAAAGATCTGGCAAGGGAAGATATGTTGATTTTTAACACCTGGATGATGATGTTCAACTGAAGAAACTAGCGTTTGCTGTTCTTTCCTTATTTGGGTTTACACATTTATGCAAAACAATCATTTTCAAGCATGAACTTTATCAAGAGTAGATTAAGAAATCGGCTTATGATGAGAACTTGGAATCGTGCCTAAAATTAAAAACAACTTACAAACCTGACCTGTACTTTCCAGGGAAATGCAAGGCGGCCATTGTACATGTTAGTGGAATATTTGTAATTTTTTTAAAGGATACCTTTATATTTTTTGTAAATATTATCTTTATATAAGAATGATACCAAGTTTTATTTAATGTACCGTTAAGACATATTCAGCAAAGGCAAGCTCGAGAGTGTAATTTTAATTCCAATTATTTCCATAAATATGTCTACTAAAGCAAAGCTTAAGTTTAAAAAATGGCTCTGAATAAACTTCAATTTCGTATTTTTGTTTATATTTGGCTCTTTTGCATGACGAGCTTGCCGACCATTGCTCTAGGACCAAAGTCAGTCATACTATTAAACTAGAATGAAAACTGCATTGTTCGAATATGCAATTTTGAACTATTTTATTTTATTTTCATATTTTTAGTTGTATATTTTTTTTAATTAATTTATTTTTATTAAACTAGATTTTTTAGTGTAAATGATTGAAAATTGGACACCCTTAGGGTTTAAAAAAACCTTTTCAAAAACTAATCATAGAAGGAGAAATAAAGCAAAAAAAGAACTATTGGACTATTAGTTCACGAATGGAAGGATTAAAAAAATTAATTAATTTTAAAAAACTATTATAATTTACCTCCACGCTGCTCGATCTTTTTACTTTCTGCCGCGGCTTTCCTTTGGTCGGCAAGGACTAGAACTTCCACAAGTGCGTTACGTTGTTCGGGGGTTAGATTTGATGTTAAGGCATTGTACCATAATGGGTCAGCGCCTTCGAGTGCTGCAAGTGAAAATTTTTTAAAATTAAACAAAAAAAAAGCCTTGTTAGGGAAAAAAATCAACTCGCTTACTTTGGAGGACTTCCTTAAATACGACATATTCATCGATCTCGGTATCCTCTTCATCAAGAGGGGTGGTGTATGCTTCTAGTCCGGTGTCATCTACCTCATAATCCTCATCATCTTCATCATCGTCATCATCATCATCGTCATCATTGCCATCCTAAAATTAAAAAAAAAAAATTGTTCGTAAAATTGTAAAAAAGCTTCTTTTTTTTTTAATTTTAAATTTTACCTGCATGGAGGCTGAAACCGAGAACACCATTGAATTTTTTCCTTTGTTTACTTTATTATTCAGCGATTCAAGATATGAAGGAAGCACTTCATCTTCATCAGAGGAAAGAACTAAACAAAATATTAATTAATAAAAATCTAATAATATGAGAATATTCATTAACAGAAATTCATTAAAAACGTACTTTCTTCATCTTCTGAACCTTCTTGTTCTGACTCTTCTTCTTGATTTTCCTGTGCTTTTGCTAAAAGTTTAAATATAAAATTGTAATAACTTCACCAAAAAAAAATCTAATATTTGGTAACAATTATCACCTGCATAAGCTTGTTTGAGGCCTTCGAAAACTAAAATTAGACAAGGGATTATCCTAGGAGCACAGTCGTTCACAGCCAATGGCCCTTTTGAGCCCATCGCCATCAAAGTACTTAATCCAAGCACACATAATTTCCTATCGTGCAGGCTGAAAACAAGTCCTTCGTTGAAAAATCCACGCAGCGGGAAATTAAATACAGCTTAATAAGTCTTACCCGAGAAAGCAGTCTGCATCGTGTATCCACTGTGTTATGAACTGCTCGCTAATCGAGACACCAGGCGAGACGGAGAGTTGGATTTCGCCCATCGTCTTCAACCAAAGTTCCGGGTTGTAATAAAGCGCAGCGATTACAACTTGCAAGCACATGGCTCTTAATTCTGACGTCTTCACTTCCTTTGTCAGACGTTCTAATACTAATTCAATAAAAGGCGATATACACTGTAATCGTAAATTAAATATTAACTCTAAAAGTAACTGAAGAAAGAAAAAAAGAAAATTTCAAAAGATTTATACCTGATCAATTTGCCCTTTGCATTGTAAAATAATAACTTCTAATAGTTTAGCCGCATGGCATTCTGGATCTTCACCGGTGTCGGCCGTCAGCACCTATTGAAAAGAGAAATTTTAATACCTTTATGATTGTCGTGTAACAGTGTTACTTACGGCTTTGCACATTTTGTACATGGCCAAGAGACGATCCTGATTAGAGAGAAATGCTGGAGTATCGACAGTAACATAATTATGAAGAGCAGGCATCATATCAGTAAAATAATCGAGACCATTTTCTTCAAACACCTAAACAAAATTATTTTGACATTAATCATACAAAAACTTATTCGAGTAGAAAAAAATCATGCAAAGAATTTTTTTTAAGTTGCAATTCCTAGTTTTAAGATAATTTGTAAGTTTGTAATTTATGTTGGTAAAGAGGGACAGCATCAGAGTAGTGATAGCACCCCACGATGGGCAGAAGAGAATAGGATAGATGGTAAAAAAGAAAAAAAAACACCATCTCCTGGATTTGCGATCATGCAACTTTCCAGCCTCTAGCCTTGGTGAGATGACAGAGAGAGGAGAAAGTATGGCGCTTGACTATTAGTAGTATAAAATGAATGCAGGTTCTGAAAATGTTTTATTTTAGCAGGTGCTTGTTGTATAAACCAACTAATTCCTTAAATCTAATTTATGGATTATAATAAATACTTTTAACTGTTACTTTCATGTAAAACATTTAAGTTTATATTGAATTTTATAAGAATGAGAACCTACGGAATTAAATATGTACTAGGATTGTCGTCAAAGTTGTTTGTACAAATTTAAACTTGAGTGATATGCGGCACAAATCGCACAAAACATCAATGCATTTTGGGAGAGCGATGGTTTCAGAGTTTTCAATCTTGAAGACAGGAAAGGTCAGGTAGGCCTTCTGTTGTGAACAACAACCAATTCAAAACGTTGATTGAAAAAAATTCACATAAGACAACAGTAAAAATTGCAGATCTTAAGGTGGCCATTCACGATCACTCCAAATGGAACCGCACCCAGCCGTACAGCTCCATTTGGACTGCCTGAAATTTGAGGGGCATTCACGACCGTTCCACAGCCAGTCGCTCCGAATGTCAACCAGTCAATTACCTTCTCAAAATGGATGACGATCTCTTGTGCTACTCTTCCGTTTATTTACATATTACAAGCAAAAAATCGAAGAGGAAATGGTGTAAGAAGTGGCTCTGAACAGAAGCCGTAATACCCACATCAATTTGATGAAAGATCTTTCCCTTGAACCCGCTGATTGGAGGAACTATTTAAGGATGGATGAAACATCTTATTTATTCATTATATTTAGTGTTCTATTGACCAAATTACTTACTTAAATCTGAAGCCATGGCCTTCGGCTAAATACTTCAATCCTCTCCGAAACCAAAAAATGGCAAAAAGAGAGAAAATTCGAAAGGTTGTAGGTTGAGATGGGGAGTTGGTGTCCGAGTGGATCGAACTATCGAAGTCAGTATAGCTCAAGTGGTTAGCGCAGCGGCGTATTTAGCCGAATGTCGTGGATTCGAATCCCCTCATGACACTATTTTTTCATTTCAACCAAAACCTTACAAAAAAAAGATTAACGTCTTATTTATATTTACTCCAGCTTGTTACCCCCTTGATTAGAAAACAAAAGACAGTCATGAGAGAAATCATCACTACATGAAAGGTTGGCAACCACATTACGATTTCTCGCTACAGGGATGAACTACAAAGAACTTAAGTTCTCTACTACGATTTCTGATCATTGTTAGGGGTTATCAATACCGCATCTCTCATTGCATTTGTATCCTTTGTTTTGAAAACGTCGACCAACTGGTTGAGGATCGAATTTCTTTTATTTCTATCGTGGTAATATAATCATTGTCCACCACTTTCATAAACATGGTAAACTTTCATACAATTCAATCACCTCAACAATAAAATCTCGATTGGATGTCATTACCAATAAAGAATAAACTTTTTGACTTTTTGAGAATGTACGACGGAGATGTTTGCTCAGTGACAGAAAGACGGAGACTGCGCCAAAAAAAATTAGGGTTTTCCCATTCACGACCAGGCCAGTGCGCCAAAATCCCCACCCTCCACACCAGGTTTTCCCATGCACGAATGCGCCATGCCGTCATCACGCCGTAGATATTTGGAGTGGCGCGATGGAGTTTGGACTGGTCGAATATTCGGCACAGCCGGGCACCCAGTTCAGTTTTGCCATTGACGTGGTTTTTGGATCGGCGTCGCTCCGTTTGGACTGCTTGGAGCGATCGTGAATGGCCACCTTTAGTGTTGACTACTCAACCGTGAACAGAGCTTAACAACCGTAACCATAACAGTAACATTGCCAAAGCTATACTAAAGCTTAGTACGCACTTAGATTCTTTTAATCGATTCATGTTGCGGGGCAGAGTCGGGGCTGCGTAGATTCATTGTAGCCGGCGACAAAGACCAGTTTCAGGATCAAGATTCAGTTCACATTCATCAGTGCCTGCGAAAATGACGGAGGAACTAGCTCTTAAAGGAATTTCCCTTGCTCTTTTTTGCATTGTACGTAGTAAATCCAATCAGAGGTGCATTCAAAACGCCCAAAAAGATGGTAGGTTCGACAAATATTTCACGGGGGGAATCAGCACGGGAAAAACCTTTGGGACACGTTGAGATTAAATGATGGCACAGGGTTCAGAAATTTTTTGGGATGTCCCCGATTGATTTTTTATGTTCCCGACGGAACTGTCCTTTTAAAGTGTGTATTATTATTATTTTTTTTTTTTTTTTCAATTTCGGCAACGGAAACACTGAATTTTTGGGCTAAACTGTTCAATGTTTGGCTTTTCAATTCCCAATGATACATCCCACAAACACCAATGGGAATCCATGTCTTCGATAGACTGTAATGTCAAATTGGTACTCCACAACATATCTTTATACAAGAAACCGTCAAAATCTTCAAGAAAACACTCACTACAATGTCAACTAAACAAATGAAGCAAGAGCGCTTGTTCCAATTCACGACCGCACTGGCAAATGTGCAACATTGAGACAAAGAATCCCACATCGGATGGGATTCAAAAGAGCCCGAAAATGCTAGGGATGGTTAGGGATGACCGCACACCAGATTCATCGCAACAATGAGTCGGGGCAGCCCGGATTCAGGCTAGACACAGCCGAGACTATCCGGAGATTACAAGAGTCGACTCAAAGAATCCCAGTGCGTACTACGCCTAAAGGTCTGTGACACATTTGATTCAATTCCAAAAATAAACACCCTGCAACGTGCTTCAAAAGTGGGTTTTTCTAGAAAAGACGCATCGTTCCAGAAAAACAGCCATTACGAATATGTTAAGAATTACTTTAATTCAAATAATTGATTCAATTAAATTAATTCAATTGAAGTGAATAAAATAATATTGCAACTTACTCTATACATATGTTCAAAGACTTTCCACATATCTTCTGATATAGATTTTGTTGTGAGGTCATAGACCAAGGACATAGCTTCTTCATAGAATTCTTAAAAGAGGAAAAAAAATATTTAAGGTTTGTAAAAATTTACTGCGGTTGTAATACTGGCAGAAAACTTACCCATAAGATTTCCTGTAAAAATGTGGCCGACGACAAAAAGTACCGTTGATTGTACATGTGCCAGGATCGCCGGATAATCTTCCAGCATTGAAATAATCGATTCGATCGTGTTCAGGAGGCCCATGGCGGTTATCGCTTTTTCATCTGAACCTTCGTCGGTGTCAACAACAATCTTGAATGATTGTGCCTAAAAAAAAAAGTTTGAAATTATTTCTATTATTCGATATGAGATTAAATAAATCTTATATCGTACCAAGTGTTGACACATTTCAACGGCGATTTTCGCAATTTCCTCAGGATACGTGGTCACAAATTTTTGTAATACTGATGAAAGCTCATCATTCTCGGTTTCACGGATTAAATTAAGTAGTTCTAAAGCGAGCATGTTAACCTAAAATTTAAACAGAGAATCAATAAAAATTGTATCGACTCGTAATTTCAAACACCAATTTTTATTTTTAGTTATTTGATCAGGGTATTAAAAAAAAATTACCTGAGGTCGCAGGATTGTCTCAACTTTCTCCTGTTCGGACAGCAACATCTGAATCGCGATGGCAGCCTCGACTTTGACCGGAAGGTCTCTGTCAGTAAGCAAAGCATTTGTCACAAAAGTAACAGCAGTCGCGAGATTTTCATCAGACCTAAATTTCAACTCGTCACAGGAATGAATAACCCAACAAGCCTAAAAAATTATAAGTTAAAAAGACATAAAAGACAAGATTTTTTTTTATTCTTCTCACCCTTGCTCTCATATGGCCATAAGGACTTTGAAATTCAGGATATACGTATCTAACAATCATTTGTTCCATTTGTTCTTTATAGGGCTTCTTTTTGAATAAAATTGACGCCAATGTGCCCACCTGTATTATTAGAGTGAGTAAAAGTTATTTATTTTAAACAATGATTTTATAATAACTTTACCATGTGAAGTGCGCCATCTCTTTGCCGAGGCCCGGTGTCTGAATTTAATACTTCCAAGATTAATTGCATAGTCCTTTCTAACATGTTTTTCCTCTTTTTACATGAGGCAATAAGGAGGGATGCAGCGGCGTTAACAGGAGAGACAAAATCTTCGAAAATGTCTGTGGGGAAAAAAATCATTATCGCACAATCCAACAACGTCCAACAGCAATCGAATTTACCAAATTTGACTCTAATGTATTCTTGTGGATCTGACTCCCAAAGCTCCTCGTCTGTTTGTGAATAAGACAGTAAAGGGAAAATTACATCTTGAATTATTGGAAACATGTGCTCTTTAAGAAATTTCCAAGAATGAGCATGATTTACACTGAAATCAAGCGTTAATTATAAACGTAACAAACAGTTTACATTCCGATGTATTTAAATTAACAGAAAATCTTACGCGAGTGTGATGTAGTTAAGCGACAGCTGGACTACTCTCGGTGGTATATAAATTTTCCTTGTATACTGGGCTAATATTTTAAGCAGAACTTCTAAAATCCCGCATGAGAACGTCTTCAAGAACCATTCCGCAAATTCTTTGTATTCCTTTTCAACACTTCCTGGGCAACCGTACCTGTCAAATTGAAATTTTAGATTTTTTTTAAATATAAGTCATAAATTCACACAAAGAAATTACCTTTCGAACATTCTGTGTATAATGTGTAAAGCCCATTTTTTACACTTCCACCATGGAAGGTCGGGTCGTTCGTCTTCATCGATGAGGAGGGTTTGTTCAGGAACCGGCCTGTCTATTATCTGCCTCAGAATTTCCATCCACTGGGCGAACATTTCTCTCGTAATAAGGTTCAAAGGTAGGACGTACTAGAATTAAAAGTAAACCTTAGCCGACGAACCGCATAATGTTCAAATTAAAATCAAACCAATTACCTGCGTAAGGGCAAAGTATATTTTCAGAATTTGCTTCTGTAAGGCTACCGACTGTTCCGAATCGTCAGGTAAAAGTCGGATGCATAGCTCGTTTATAAGTGGTAAGAGGAGATTCATGGCGTCGTTCAACGGTCCGCGTTCCTGGGCTTTTCGATATCTGCTGGGATAATTGAGCTTGATCAATGTTAACAGATTACAATTAAATAATTTTATTAGTAAATGTTAGTTACAAAACAGTAGAAAAAAACATGAACAAAAGGAAATTCCTGTATACTTAAAAAATAATGTTAATCTATACATAAATAACAAAAAAAATTTTGAATTGTAAAAAAATTACTCAATTTTAAACCATTCAAGGCACTTTAAAGAACCACTACTCAATTATAAGAAATGTCAGTTTCTTTTGTAAACCAATTGACATTCATGGTCTTACATATACTCAAACATGATTTAACTTACTGTTTTTGAGGAGCATTTTCCCTCAAAGTCATTCACTTTATTTTTAAAACAAGTCGCAGTAACAGAAAATAATTGTTTAATTGATCTTACTGAAATATTATATTTATAAATTCACTAATTTCGTGGTCCACTTGACCAATTAATACAATTAATTAAGGTTTTTTAGTTGAGATAAAAAAGTCAATGGCACGAGCAGGATTCGAACCCATGATTTCGGCTAGATACGCCGCTGCTCTACCACTTGAGCTGAAAAATGGCAAAAAGGAGGGAAAATTCAAAACGTAGGGTTGAGACGGGAAGTTAGTGTCTGAGTGGATCAGGGCCACGATAGCTCAAGTGGTAGAGCAGCAGCGTATCTAGCCAAATATTGTGGGTTTGAATCCCGCTCGTGCCATTGACTTTTTATCTCAACTAAAAAACCTTAATTAATTGTAATTATATTTATAAATTTATGGTTGTATTAACCCTGCACGACTTTAATTTCAATATGATCAATGTCCAGAGCATGCAACAAAAAATTATGGACTGTAAAAATTAATTATTTTATGTTTCAAGTTGGCAGAAGGTGATAGGATAACTAACTAAACGTTGGAGTAAGGAACATTCAGCACGATGGTCATCACAGTACACAATAACATTGAGATCTTGCATTTTTTAAATTTAAGTTAACAAATTTAATTATTTAAATTAAATAAACCAGTAATTCTCACTCGAAGTTTTTGACGAGTTGATAGAGGCAGAGTAGAGCACCACCCCATCCTGCTGACTCGGGATTTTGAAGATAAATGCTGATCTTATCTACAATCTGGGTCCACCTTTCTGGAAAGTCGTGTTTCACCATCGTATGAATGCACACTGCCAGTTGAACTCTTTAGAATAAAAACCAAATCGATTATATTTGACCTGTTAGGTTATTAGCAATCGTGATATTACTGAATTAGCTCAGGAGCGTGAACGATAGCGTCTACGATTGAGTCTCTTATCATGGATCGGTCTTGTTCGTGGAATATGAAGTTCATAGGATTGTTAGCGTCGCCAATGGCCCCTTTATCCGACCAGTGTTGAGTTATCAAACTTTTAAGATAGATCACACCTGGAATTTTTAAGTCCAGATCAATCCAAGTTCAAATACTTTTATAAATTTTCTCAACTAACCGGCTTGTCTTACAGGCATGTCAACATCTGACATCATTACCATTTGTAACAATGTGGGTCCAAAACCAATAATTTTTTTCATCTGAAACAATTAAGACAATTTTAATTTGTGTGTATTACTGTATAATTTTTATATATTAATTCATTTTGCAACAGAATATTTCAGTAAATTATCCTCACATAAATTAAACTGACCAACCCTTTTTATTATTTTATTTGTACCCTATACATATTACAAATGTGGTCACAAAACCATGCGCTGCACTTTGTGGACATATGCCATGAGAAATCAGCTAATGTTTATGCTCTTTATTGTAATAATCATCTTTAGAGGTCATAATTGACTAAAATTATTTCAATCATTATTTTTATCTAAGGTCTTGGTTGAAGCAAAAAAGTTAGTGTCATGAGCGGGATCTGAACCGACGACCTTTGGCTCAATATGCCGCTGCTCAAACCACTTTTGTCATGATAGAGCAGCATGATAGAAGTGGTTAGATCAGCGATGTGTGGGTTCAAATCCCACTTGTGACACTAACATTTTCATCTCAACCAAGAGCATAGAATAATTAATTGAAATATTGTAACAATGTTGAATTTCAATAAATGATAGTGGAATTATAAATTTTTAAGTGGAACATCATATTGAGAAAAAAATTGCCCCTGCCCTATTTTCAGGATTTTTTTAGCTTTCTTTACTGGAAGCATCATTTCCTTTTCGTAATTTTTTATTTTATTAACATCTATAATCTCATTGTGATATACAGGGTGTAATTATATTTTTTTCTATTTCTATTTTCTATTCTACTTTTTGTTAAAGTTAATCATTTTCGAAATAAAGGGGAGGGCCAATTTGTTACAAAAAGCATACCCTCCCTCATGTTTCTTCCGTCAGGCATAACTCAGAAATGGTCAACCCTATCAAAATTTTCCTTTCAGTAAAAGTGGCATAAAATAATCTCTAGAATCGAGTTGTACAATAAAAATATGGGAATCCCACTTAAAATAATAAAGTTAGTGTCATTTCCCCATTACTTGAGAAAGTTATATTAAATCGGTTAACACCATGCGATTCCTAGCTAAAATTTATTTGGGGCTAAAATGTGTGATTAGTGACCATTAGTCCATAATTATTCAGAAATCGTGAGATGCGGTCTGGTGTGACGTAGGTTTTAGAAAAACATTTTCTTTATCGTGATCATCTTCAGGGCTCAAAGTGTTTGTTATCTGCGTAAGTGTGCCATTCTTGTGTGCTTCTAAAGTTAATCGTTTCTGAATTAAATGGGTGAACTATAGAAATTGATACACCCTGTATAATACACTCAATATGCACAACAAAGGGAGAAAATCGTATTTTAAAAAATTATTTAAATTAGCTCAGTTTTGTTTTATCTACCCCTATAACACATTAGCAAGAATGCTGACATGTCTCTAATATTTTTCAAGGGAAAAAATACTCTTGAGGTTTTAGTACTTTTGATTTTATTAAGATTATAATAATTTGTGTTTTTTTAGTGACCAGTTGTTCAATAATTTATTGAAGTCTTGAGTAGCGGTCAAAAACGAAGAATTTTAGAAAAACACCTTTTTATCGACGTTTCGACCTTTATGTATGTTGAACAATACAGATGTAAATATAAATTTTGCACCAAGTATTTCATACTTACACAAAGTGTGGTGCTATTCTTGTGGTGTCATATTGGTTTATCATGAAATTTTTGGGAAACGTGAATTTGTATTCTGCTGTTTTTATACAATTTGGGCAGGGTGGGGAATGCGTTAAATCTGGAAAAATTTCTTTTATCATAGGCGGTTTTATTTAACTCGAAAGGAAGTTGAGAATGGGGATTTTCTGGATTGGATTTGAGATTCGGGGGGTTTATTCAATATTGGAAAGGAAGTAAATTATTAAGGATGATAACAACGGAAAAAATATAAAAATAAAGTTTAATAGTTCATTTGCTTTATGATGTTGGCATAGTTATGGCTGGTTTGCCTGTATCTGTTCTGTAATTAATGCTGTGTGTCTCTGTTAATGTAAACCATTTCTAGAAAATTGCGTATGCATTTGTTTTTTGCTTTTTTCCAGTGTTTAGTATTTGTATATTGTTTAAATCAAAGTTGTATTGTTTTTCAAAATGGTATGTGGCCTATTGCTGTTTATTCATAGTACATTTTCTGCTCAATTTTGCAATAAGGGATAAAACCTATCAGCAATAGTCATTTACCGAGATTGCTGCCTAATGGCAGCCCCCTCAGGTTATATAATACCACAGATATTTGAATTTATGATGAAGATTACAATTTTATTAAAATTTCATGTTATTTTTGGTTAATCGTTTTGAGAACAAAAACAAAAAGGCCATGTGGCCACCAGAAGAGATATCACCATTTCCACCATTAAATATTCAGTATGGAATGTGTTAAGTCAGGGTTTTCTAGGTTTTCCAATTGACATCTTATGAGTTTTATTTATTTATTTTATTTATTATTCATTTATTTAAATTATTGTTATATTAATTTATTTTATTTTTCACTTTATTTATTTATTTTAATTTTAAAAACAGGAATAGTGGTTTCTTTGCTAGGAACAAATTTATTTTGAGATTATGCCTAAGAAAATAATAAAATAAGCTCTTCACCCTCGTAAGAGATAAATTTGTTTGGAATGAAAACACGGTATTCATTCCTCCTGAGGTCCGTTGGTGAAAATATTATTATTATTTCTAATTGACCATATTACTTATTCCAATTAATTATTATTTTTTTCTTTTTATGTAAGATCTTGATTGAGATGAAAAAGTTAGTGTCACAAGCGGGATTCGAACCCATGACCTTCGGCTCAATACACCACTGCTATAACCACTTGTGCTATTGTGATTTAGTCTTAATAGACGACTTAATTAAAATAATAATCATAATCCAATATTATTTGAAGATTTTATCAACAGAAAATAAAGGTTTATTAGCATTCATCAAATTTATTTTAGTATTATAGTACGAAAATAAGCCCTCTCTCCCTTGCATCAATAAATTTTTTTTTTTTTTTTTTTTAAGGGAACAGGAAATAATAGATTATTTCCTAGGACCAACCTTATTTTTGGACTATGACTAACGAAGTAAGCCCTTTCACCCTTTTAAGGATAAAAATGTTAAATTTAAATTTTAGCCCAAATTTCAGGACCATTTATGATGAAGGTATTATTAGAGCAAAAACAAAAAACATATCGGCCACTTGAATGTGACAAATCATGACCCTCAAATGTTATTAAGGTACCCGATGTTTGGATTAACGTCAGGTCTTTCCTCGTGAGGTATATTAAGTAAAAAAAAAAAAAATAATAATAATATCAATACATTTGAAAATATGACAAAAAGAGGTAAAATTCTAAAGGTTGTAAGTTGAGTGGATTGAAGTCACGATAGCTCAAGAGGAGCGGCGTATTGAGCTGAACGTCTTGGGTCCAATCCCGTTTATGACACTAACTTCTTCAACTCAACTTAATTAGTATAAATAATTAATTAAAATAATATCATAATCTAATATTTTTTGAAGATTTTACCAACAGAAAATAAAGGTTTATTAGCATTGATCAAATTTATTTTAGTATTATACTAAGAAAATAAACTCTTTCTCCCTTACATGAGTAAAAATAAATTTAGATTACCAAATCTTTATGTTGAATATGAAAATTTTTATAAACAGTACTTGAGATATTAAAATTTTTAATATTCCTTGTTTTTAGCCGAAAACAAAAAAGGCCATGTGACCACCTGGATGTGACTATCAACACCCCTAAATATCAATATAAGGTCCTGAATGTGGGAATAAGTCAGGGATTTACAACTTGGCCTGATTGTTCTCAAATAAGACTTAAAAGTCTCTTGACTAAGAATGTAAAAAAATTAGTAAACAGAAATTAAGAAATTGTCTCACCCTGACAGGTCAATGGGTTTGTCCTTGCCCCTTTACATATTAGTCAATAAACAAAGGCCATTTTGGAAAAAGTTAGTTGTTTCTCACAATAAAAGAATTTGGAACAGACAGTGAATAGATTACAAGTTTCTAACTTGAAGATATCCGTTTGATATTGCATCCGTGCACCACCGAGTGGAATATAGTAGAAGGTACTCCTAGAGGTATGTCAAAGAGATTCAGCATTTCTCTCAGGAGCTTGATCACCAGGTGAAACATGATCATAATTCCACAAGCCAGTTCACACAAAGTTTATTTTTGGCAATGAATCACAGAGTGGAATATTGCAGAAGAGTCTCAATGTGCAGTACATTCAGGATGTCTACTGGTAGCCTAATCACCGAAGGGAAACATAATCATAATTCCACAAATCAGTGCATGTGTTTATTTTTGACCATGAACCACTGAGTGGAATATTGCAGAAGAGTCTCAACTGCAGGATATTCAGGATGTCTCTTGGTAGACTAATCACCAAGTGAAACCCGATCATAATTCCATAAATCAGCGCATGTGGGGTTTATTTTGAGCATGAACCACCAAGTGGAATATAGTACAAGGTACTCAACATGCGGGGGATTCAGAATTTCCCCTGGTAGACTAATCACCGGCAGAAAAATGATCATAATTCCACAAGCTAGAGCATGTGGAATTTAGTTTTGGCCATGAACCACCGAATGGAATAACGCAGAAGAGTCTCAGCCTGAAGTTTCAGGATTTCTCATGGCAGACTTATCACCGGATGAAACAACCATAATTCCATCACCAAATCATGATTCCACAAGCTAGTGCATGCGAAGTTTACTTATGACCATGGAACACCAAGGAGATATTGAAGATGAGTCTCAACATACAGGTGATTAAGTATTTCTCCTGGTAGACTAATAAATGGGTGAAACATGATCGTAATTCCACAAGTCAGTGCGTGTGAAGTTTATTTTAGACAATGGTACACCTAGCAGATATTGAAGATCAGTCTCAATGTGCAGGAGATTCAGAATTGCCTCTGGTAGATTAATCACCGGGAGAAAAAGATCATAATTCCACAAGCTAGAGCATGTGGAATTTTATTTTTGGCCATGAACTACCGAACGGAATATTGAAGAAGAATCTTAATTAGGAAATTCTGGATTTCTCAAGGTAGACTCATCACCAAGTGGAACATGATCTTAATTCCACAAGTCAGTGCATGTGAAGTTTACTCATGACCATGGAACACCAAGGAGATATTCAAGATGCATGCTCAACATGCAGGTAATTCAATATTTCTCCTGGTAGACTAATAAATGGGTGAAACATGATCATAATTCCACAAGTCAGTGCATGTGAAGTTTATTTTTGACAATGGCACACCTAGCAGATATTGAAGATCAGTCTCAATGTGCAGGAGATTCAGAATTTCTCCTGGTAGACTAATCACCGAGTGAAATGTGATCATAATTCCCCAAATCAGTGCATGCGAAATTTATTTTTGGCCATGAACCACCGAACGGAATATTGTAGAAGAATCTTAACAATTAGGAAATTCAGGATTTCTCCAGGTAGACTCATCACCAAGTGGAACATGATCTTAATTCCAAAAGCTAGTGCATGCAAAGTTTACTTAAGACCATGGACCACCAAGAAGATATTGAAGGTGAGTCTCAACATACAGGTGATTCAGTATTTCTCCTGGTAGACTCATCACCCGGAGAAACATGTACATAATTCCACAAGTCAGTGTGTGTGAAGTTTATTTTTGACAATGGAACACCAAGGAGATATTGAAGATCAGTCTCAATGTGCAGGGGATTCAGAATTTCCCCTGGTAGGCTAATCACCGAGTGAAACATGATCATAATTCCCCAAATCAGTGCATGTGAAAGTTATTTTTGGACATGAACCACAGAATGGAATATTGTACAAGAATCTTAAATAGGAAATTCAGGATTTCTCCAGGTAGAATGATCACCAAGTGGAACATGATCTTAATTCCACAAGCTAGTGCATGCGAAGTTTACATTTGACCATGGAACACACAGGAGATATTGAAGATCAGTCTCAACATGCGGGTGATTCAGTATTTCTCCTGGTAGACTAATAAATGGGTAAAACATGATCATATTCTACAAGTCAGTGTATGTGAAGTTTATTTTTGACTGACACTCCTAGCAGATATTGAAGATTAGTCTCAATGTACAGGAGATTCAGAATTTCCCCTAGTAGACTAATCACCGGGTGAAACATGATCACAATTCCACAAGCTAGAGCATGTGGAGTTTATTTTTGGCAATGATTCACGGAGTGGAATATTGCGGATGAGTCTGGACCACGAGACGTCTCAAAATTGAAAAATCCTAGGAACAAACTTTTGGAGGGATTTTTGGTGAAAACTAGAAATCTCGAGGCGATGAGCGCGGTCGGCCGAGACCTCGCGCCCAGGAACGGCTTAAAGCCCGGCCCCGATGGAAATCCGCTCCGACGAAGCTTTTTCCTTGTGAAAACCCGCCGGCCCGGATGAAAACCAATATTAAATCCGCTCTCGACGACTGTAATTTGAGAAAAAAAGTCTTTTTTTATAGGTTAAATGGTCTGCCGGCCATGCCGTACGACCGTACCTGGGTGATTTGTCCTTCTGCTTCTTCCCTCTGTGCAGAATTCAACGTGCCCCTGAAGACCTCGATTAACTTCCGCGTGTCCATTTTAACGGCTATGATCTATAAAAAACAAGTTGACAACTGACGAAATTTCCTCGGTATTAAAACTAATGACAACTAATAAGTGTAAAAGGGACGTCACGTGAGCCGTCAATAGACAATGGCGCACCGGAATCTCACTTCCCACCGATCACATGTAATAGTCAAAACGGAATAATCGCCTAGGGGCGAGCGCGCTCTTCTCAGTCTACCAGATCGACTTTCGCACCTTGTTTTTTTTTAATTATTCCTTTACTTTACAATTTTGATTTGGCTTCTAAAAATATTCTACTTTAAAAAATTATCGAGCGAGAACTAAAAAAAAACAACATTTGTTAACAACTGATTTTTCCCATTTTTCCCGGCAGCTGATTTTTTTTGTGTTTTCTTCCCTCTTTTCGGACCGGGATCGGTTAAAATTGGCCCGTTTATGAAAAACTGCCCAGGTAAAAATTCACCAAAAATTTTCCTCCAATTTATCTGCTCTTGGTCCTGAGAACGCCTACCGCCCCTGGCGGTACTACGCCGAATCCCTAATTTAAAGGAAAGGTGAAGTATCAAAAAATAATAAACAACTATAAAACAATAAAATGGCTCGATAATTATGACAAAGAAATTGATATAATATTTAAGCAATATATTGTACCCACAAGAATCTATAGACTATAATATATATTTTTTCTTTCCCTCTCTATCAATTTTCTATCAGTGTATACATCACATATTTGAACATATGTAAGTATGAATTCTACTGCATATAAGTTTTGACTTACAGTAATTTGTTTATATAATTATACTCAGGTGACTCCACGGCATTACTGTACTTTTTAATTTATTTATCTTTCTCTGGCATCAGCACCCTTAGAAACCTCTTCATGACTAATCCTAGAGTACAAGATATTCTTCTTACGATAGCAAACAAATTTAAAAATCAGTCTTTGTGCTTCTTACGGATCCTGGGTCATAATGGCATAATCAGGAATGAAGAAGCTGACTGATCAGCTAAGAAAGCTAAAACAGAAGTACATAAAATATTTCAAGTACCTTACGAAGATTTTAATTCATTTATTAAAAAAGTTATATAGCCACAATGGGAAATTAAGTGGCAGAACATCATACAAAATGACAAACTTTAGGAAATTAAGGGTTTTGTCAAAGAGCCATCCTTATGAAAACCTAGGAAAAAAGAAACAGCTGGCTAGACTGAGGATAAAGATAGGGCGCATGCATTGACATTTGGTTGCTTAATGTCCTGAGAGCTTGCTCAAATGTGTCCAGAGTGGGGAGAAATTAATCACTGTTAAACATATTTTAATAACGCAAAAATACACAGAACTAAGAAATAGATTCAAACTTGCAAATAGTTTAAAAACAATACTAGGTGACAATTTTAGTAATATTGAGAAATTATTTGGCTTCCTCTATTAATCCTGCCTAATAAACAAAACATAATCTTATGTTTCATTCATTCATAATTTTTTGTTTCATTCATAATTTCTAAACATAACCTTTTAATGTTCAAATATTATGTAGAAAGTAGCCGGGGCAAAGGCTCCCATGATTTCTGGCTAACAACATATTTTCAAGGCAATCTTCAAACCATTGGTGGCTTTTTTTCGCCTTTAAAAAATATATTTATTTATTTTTATTTTATTTAATTTTTTAAGGTTTTGAGGGTGATGCAGAAGACAGTTTTATCTTCCTCTGCGACCTAAACAGGTCTATTGTGGAACCACTACACCTTGGAAAGTGTGCTATTGCTTAAATAGTTATATACTTACTAAGTTTATACTAAAGTTAGGTACTTACTAATCCATGGTAAGCACTTTCATTAGTGCCTCTTTGGGATTTAGTTTAGTATGAGAAATGGTCCAAAGTAGCTGTACCATAAGCAGCTTTATATTTTTTATTTGCAAAGGATATGTGCCAATGTCTCTGTTTCCTTCTGACAGAGTCGGCATTTTTCTGTCTCTGTTTTGCCTTAAGAAGAAAATTGAAAGTGCAGTGGCATTATGGAGGTATTTAATTCTCTTCAAACCCTGCTTGCTGAGAGAGAGAAGTTCCTTTGCCTTCTGTTTTGAGAGATTTACAAACTCTTAGCTTTGCCTCATACCTGTTTGTCTGAGGGTTTATCTTTCTCAATCTATTTTTGCCAATTCCGACTTAAGCGGACACTCCAGAGTACTCAGTTGTGATTATGATCCCATGGGTGAGAGGGTTGCTTCTTTTTTGGCTGGTTGGTCAGCCTTTTCATATCCTTCTGTGCCTTCATGTCCAGGAACCCACTTTAAGATAATTTTGTTTTCCTTTCCCGGAGTCATTAGGCAGTTTAGGACCTTTTTCACCTAGTCTGTTTTACTGTAAGCAGCATTTTATCTTAAAATATACATTAAATATAAAATAGTTTAGGGGAAAAATATATTAACTTTGAATCAATTAATTTTACATTGTTTATTTGCTATTTCATTGTTAATTTACTCTCATTGGTTTCTTATGTTCTCTATGATGAATATCCTTTTCTCTTGTATATAGTTGTTTTCTAATTTCCTTTATATTTGTTGGTGTTCGAAATTAACTTTCAATAAATTAATGCTCATATTTTTGTTTTTATTTGTTATTTCATTGTAAATGTATTCTTACTGGCTTCTTATGTTCTCTACGATGAATATCCTTTTTTCTTTCTCTTCTTTATTTATTTGTTGTTTTCTTAATTTTCATTTGGTTCCTGTGATTTTATTTTCCCTTCTCCACTCCTTTGGTTTTTATCTAATTTCTTTCATATTTCTAGGTTTTTCAACGATTTTTTTTTAAAATTTCAGCCACTTAATTTTTATATTTTTGTTTTTATTTGCCATTTCTTTGTTAATTTACTTTCATTGATCTCATGTTTTCTACAATGAATATCGTTTTTCTTTTTCTTCTTTACTTTTTTGTTGTTTTATAATTTCATATGCTTCTTGGTGTTTTAATTATTTTTTTTTTGTATTTTTGGGATTTAATTTTGATTTGATTCCTCCCATTTTATTTTTATGATTTTGTCTGTTACTCTCTACAATGTATATACTTTTTTCTTTCTCTTCTCCACTCCTTTGGTTTTTCTAATTTTCCTTTATTCTTATTATTTTTTTTGAAAATTTCTTAATTTTCAAAAAAAATTTGAAAATGAAATTTTAAGCAGTTAATTTTTGTATTTTTTTTTTTTAAATTTGCTATTGCATTTTTAGGCACTAATTTTCTTCTGACCCCCTCATTGGATATTGTTAATTTTATCACGTCGATTTCTTCTGTTCTTCTTTAAGGTGTAATCCTTCTTATTTAGATGTTTTTTAAATTCTTATTTTTTTGGTGTTTTTAATTTATTTTCTACCAATTAATTTTTAACCAATTAATTCTTGTTTTTATTTGCTATTTCATTGTTGATTTACTCATATTGGTTTCTTATGGTTTCTTATGTTTTCTACAAGGAATCTCATTTTTCTTTATTTTCTTTACTTTTTCGTTGTTTTCTAATTTCATTTATGCTTCTTGTTGTTTTAATATTTTTTTTTTGTATTTTTGGGATTTAATTTTCATTTGGTTCGTCTCATTTTATTTTCATGATTTTTTCTGTTACTCCCTACAATGTATATACTTTTTCTTTCTCTTCTCCACTCCTTTGGTTTTTTTCTAATTTCCTTTATATTTCTTCGTTTTTAAACAATTTTTTTAAATGAAATGTTAAGCAGTTAATCTTTATATTTTTGTTATTTGCTGTTGCATTTTTAGGTACTAATTTTCTTTTGATGCCCTTAGCAGGTGTTACTAATTTTATCATGTTTTCTTCTGCTCTTCTCTATGGTGTATAACTTTCTTATTTTTCTTCTGTTCTTATTTAATTGTTTTATAAATTCTTATGTTTCTCCGTGTTTTTAATTAATCTGCAACCAATTAATTTGTGTATTTTTGTTTTTATTTGCTATTTTATTGTTGATATTGTTTTCTTTATCTTCTTTACTTTTTTTGTTGTTTTCTAATTTTATTTATGCTTCTTGGTGTATTAAATTTTTTGTTGTTGTATTTTTGCTATTTATTTTTCATTTGGCTCCTTTCATTTTATTTTCTCTTCTCCACTCTTTTGGGTTTTTTCTAATTTCCTTTATATTTCTTGCTTTTTAAACATTTTTTTTCTTTTTTTAAATGAAATTTTAACCAGTTAATTTTTATATTTTTGTTTTTTGATATTGCATTGTTAAGTACTAATTTTCTTCTGATGCCCTCATCAGGCTTTGTGTTGTTTTTCTTGTTGGCTTCTATGTTCTTCTCTACAATTAATCTCTTTTTTCTTTCTATTTACTTTTTCTTTGGTTGTTTTCTAATTTACCTTGTTTGTCGGTTTTTAGATGAACTTTCAAATAGTTAATTTTTATAATTTGTTTTTATTTGCTAATGAATTTCGTAGTTCAAATTTTCTTCCAAGTACTCTCATCAGGCTTTGTTAATTTTGTTTTGCCTTTGGTTTCTTCTGTTCTGCAGAATCTAGCCAGTACTTTTGGCCAAATTCAAAATAAGGTGGCAACCAATCGAAACTACCCCAGGATGAACTTATTTCTTTTCTATGAGATAGCGCACTTTGCTGAGTAAAACCTCCTTCCAGATTTAAGTTCTGTTTTGGATTAAGCATGGCTTTTTCTTAACAATTAATTCAACGTTTAAAATACATGCCATGAATTGATTGTCATGCTTTATAAGTTAATTCGTGGCCCACCTCACACGAGGTGTCCTAGGGTCTATTTTTCAACCAAAACTAAAAAGGGGTATAGTAAAATTACATTTTTTAAAAGTTTTTTCTCCTAAATAAAATCTAAATCATAGATGAAATAGATTAAGGTGATTGAAAAAAATATTTGGTGAATTCAGGCTGTTTTTTTATTTTTTTATTCTGTGGGTTTAACATACAAGTATACTAGTTACGTAAAATGTATTATTATTGAAATGATATCGAGTTTTTACTTTTTTGTTTTTGTTATTGAGATTTACAAATTTTTTTTCCAGTTCTAAATGGAACAGTGTAGTCGGTCTGGAAGTGCATGCCCAGATAAACACAAAGTCCAAACTATTCTCCGGTGCTTCGACTTCTTTCGGCGGCCTGGTGAACAGCAGTGTCGCCCTTTTTGATGCAGCGATACCAGGCACTTTACCTGTCAGTACGCTCAAAGTGTTTTATTCTGTTTAACTGACCTACGTGTTTTTTAGGTGTTGAACAGAAGTTGCGTAGAGTCTGGGATTTTAACCGCTCTCGCTTTGTCGTGCAGGGTCAACCAGGTGTCTACGTTTGACAGGAAGCATTACTTTTATTCGGATCTGCCTGTAATGAACAAATTCAACTGATTTTTTTTTTTTTTTTTTTTTTACTAATCAACTCTCAAATGATTTTTTTTTTTTTTTTTTTTTTTTTTTAATATAGAATAGTTTGTTTTTAAAGGCAGGATACCAGATAACCCAACAGAGAGCACCTTTGGCAAACGATGGGAAAATTCATTTTCATATTTTCACACCTGGGGTTCACAAAACGCCCTACGATAGATGGTCGAGATTAAAACAAATCCAGCTTGAGCAGGACAGCGGTAAATCGTTGCACGAGGAAATTATAGAATATACTTTAGTTGATTTAAACAGAGCAGGAATTCCTTTGATGGAATTAGTTTTTGAGCCTGATCTCTCGGACGGCGAAGAGGCTGCAGCTCTTGTAAAAGAACTTATTCTTATTTTATCTAAAATAAATACTTGTTCTTGTAAAATGGAAGGTACATAAGTTAAAATTATATTATTTTTTTGCTTTTAACATGTTTTTAAATTTTTAGAAGGTGCTCTTCGTGTCGATGCTAACATTTCTGTTAATAAACAAGGCGAACCACTCGGAACAAGGACTGAAGTAAAAAACATTTCAAGCATAAGGGGCGTAGCGAATGCTGTTAATTTTGAAATTAAAAGACAGGTAATTTATCATTTTTACCCTGTAGATAAGAAATTAAAATAAACAAAATGTTTAGATAGAAATATTGGAAAAGGGAGGAGAAATTGTAAATGAAACAAGAGCGTGGGATGCCATTAATGCCCAAACTTTACCAATGAGAGATAAAGAGGTCAAACAGGTAATTAACAATGTAACAATTGCAATATAATTTTATTGCTTGCGGAGTAGCCACAATTGTAGGCATTTATATATTAAACATAAAGCGAAAGCTTTGATTTTTTGATTTTAAAATAAGGAAAAAATAAGTGAATATATAAAGGGAAGGCTACGAATGTGGGAGTACCAGTTTTAATAACTTTTTGATTATTTGTTTAAAAAATATTAGACACGTCTGAGCATTCTTGCCTTTGTGTCCTAGGGGCTGAGCAAAAAAATATTTTCAATAATTATTCAGAAATCGTGAGATGCGGTTTGGTGTGATGTAGGTTTCAGAAAAACATTTTCTTTATTGTGCCAACGTTTCAAGCTTTATTGAGATCATCTCCAGGGCCTGGGATTTACAAACATTGTTTAAATTTAAAAAATACATGTAGGATGTGGAAAAAAGTGAATTTATGCAATGCAAAAAAATTTTTTATATTCGATCAAAGTATTTCTACTCAATCAAAGTATACAACTGTTACACAGAAAACAAACACTTTGAGTGAGTACAAATACTTTGAGTCTAAAATTTCTAGCATTGTATAAATTTATTTTTTCACATCCTACATGTATTTGTGTAATTTAAATAATTTTTGTAAATACCAGAACCTGAAGATGATCTCAATAAAAGTTGAAACATTGGCATGATAAAGAAAATGTTTTTCTAAACCTACATCACACCAGACTGCATGTCACAATCTCCAAATAATCAGTAATTATAAAGAACAAGTAGAACAATTAATTATGAAAAGGGTTTTTTGTTCTGTATATAAAAAAAAGAAGAAGTGATTACATACAGCTTTTCACCAATCCCTTGTTTATAAAATGTGTAAAACTAAATATTTAAAACATTTAGTGATCGTTAATCAATGATTATTTGGAGATCGTGAGGGAGGCTGAAGATGATCGCAATAAAGATCGAAAAGTTGGCACAATCAACCTACATCTCACGATATCCCAGTAATCATTTAAAACAATATAATAAAACATAGGTTTTCAATTAAATTATGAATTCATGGGCCATCGGTAAAGAAAGTTATCATGGATCTGATTGTGATATCTGTTAAACAAATCTGAGAAAACAAATAAATATTCTATACACTCACCACATATTAAAAAAAAGTCATATAATTATATAAATAAATTAAGAAAGAAGGTAAATTAACTGATAGATAATTAATAAAATTTATATAAGCAAAAGAATAAAGTGAAAAAAATATGAACTAGAGAAAAATATATGTATACAATATATGAACCTACAAGATAAAAAAGAGAGAAAAAGGGGGGGAGAGAGAGAGTGAGAGAGTAAGAAAATGAGGTGAGAAAGTGAATGTGAGAGTGAGATAGAAAGAAAGAATAAAAATTTATGTAAGCAAGAGAATAAATAGAGAGAAAGCTAATATCAAATATAATATGTACTAGAAAAAACATGTATACAATATATGAATAAAAAAGAGGGAAACAGGGGGGGGGGAAGGGGAGAGAGAGGGAGAGAGAGAGAGAGAGAGAGAGAGAGAGAGAGAGAGTGAGAGAGAGAGAGTAAGAAAGTGAGGTGAGAAAGTGAATGTGAGAGTGAGATAGAAAGAAAGAATAAAAATTTATGTAAGCAAGAGAATAAATAAAGAGAAAGCTATCGAAATAATTTTGCAAAATATGTTTTTATGCCTTCATTTATGTACATATTTCAAGATTATTACATATCAGCTGATTTTTTAATTTTTAATTTAACAAGATGATCAGGTTGGTGGGTCGCGGTTTTGTTATTAGTTACTATTTACCACAAATAATATTATTTAATCTCTAAATAACTGTTGTATGAATTTATTTATTTAAATTATATTGCATACAATAAAATTTTAATAAAAGTTATAAGCATAAAGTAAATTTAATTAAATGAGCATAAATTATTTTGCAGATTTAAAAAAAAAAAAAATTTTTTTTGGTGTATTAATTTCATTATTGGTTAACATAAAAACAAAAATGTTCTATGATGCAGAATATTATAATTTGGTATGATTTAAAAAGACAAATAAACAAAATACTGTTTTTTTTTAAATGTATTTTAATCAACATTATGTTAAGCAAAGTAGGTCAGAAAATGGACAAAATTTGGATTTGACCAAATTGTATTAAGTCTAGCTATAAAAACCCTTTGGTACCGACTTTCGTGGAACTTTTTTACCGATAATTTCGATGACCCCTCTGCCTGACTCACATTACTAGTCATTTGTCTCAAAATTTTCCCAAAACCTGGTTGACCAACTTAACTTGAACAATAAATTTATTGCAAGGATTATAGGTTCATGCCAGAACCAAATCTCCCTCCTTTAAGAGTTAACACTTCGAAAGAAGATTTCCCAGGCGTCATAAGTGTTGAAAAGCTTCGCGATTCTCTTCCAGAATTGCCAGAAGATACGAGGAAGAGGTTGGCAGTTGATTTCGGCTTATCTAGAGATATGATTATACATTTAGTGGTAGGTCTTCACCTTGGTGGTGAAAATAATTTTATTTAATTAATTATTTATTTATTTTTTAAGGGAAATGATCAACTTTATGATGTATTTTTACAACTCTTAAAAGAAAATAAGGAAAGAGATGTTAAAACAATAGCTAAATTTATTACAATTGAATTGATGATGCATGTCAATAAAGAAACTATTTCTCTCGAAGATATAAGGTTGGGTTTTTGTAGTTTTTACATTATAAATTTCACTTTTAATGTGGTTTTTTTAACAGTAAACTCATCGGCCTTGGTTTAGGTGAGATAATAGATTTGTTGCAGAATGACCGTATTAACTTAACAACCGCAAGAAAACTTTTGAGTGAAATCATAAATGGAAATCCGCAAACGCCTTTTGAGGTTGTTACCTTGATTACACAATCAAAAATACAGAACCATTTTTGTTAAATATTATCTATTTATAGATAGTAGAAAAGGAGAATTTATATCAAATCACCGATGAACAGATTCTGAGGGAAATCTGCTTAGAAGCAATGAAGAATAATCCGACTGCTGTTGAAAAGTATCGGAAAGGCAAAGTCAGGGTCCTTTCTTTTCTTTTGGACTACATAAGTGAACAAACGAACAATCGTGCAAAAATGAGTAAGGTGATCGAACTGATCAGAGAAATGTTAAATTCCAAATAATATTTATAAAATGTTACTTTTATCTTAAATAAACGATTTGAATTTATTTCATATTTTTTTATGCTTATTATTATTATTTTTTAATGGAACAACAATGAAGTCCTGCACTGTTAGTGCCGATGGGTGCTTGATATTCCGCCATCGGCCCTCTCCCTTTTTCTATATATATCATACAAACTGCACAGCTACACAATAATTAAATACAATATTTAAAAATTAAACAACCTTTTGTATAATATATATTATATAATGTAATATTATAAATATGGGGTGTCAGTGGCCGCAACGGTGTTGACACGGTGCTCATCACTGTAAGGTAAAGGTCCCGGGTTCGAATACAGCGGCCCTGCATTCGAACCCGACATACTTACAAATGGGCTTTTTTTTTAAAACACCGGCACCTCGAGGGACAAATGACAAAAAAAAAATATATATANATAAAACTTAAATTAACATACAAATTATAAACTTAATATAAAATTATCTCTGCAATTCAGCGCATCTATAATATATCTATACAAACTAAACCAATTTTCCCATTTAAAAGTTCTATATACTCACGGAATGTCAAACGACATCTGTGGAACCAAATTAACCTAACTTTCTCCAAAGTTGGACAAACTGGCAAAAAATGAAACAAATCTTCCACCGTTTTTAGTTTACACACATATAGCATGCTTGGTCTCTTTCCTCCAGCCAAGGCTTAAAATTTAAATATAATAATTGACCTCTCGCGCAAAAAACAACCTTGATCAAATTCCAGTTGTATTCCTTATACAAGTAATTGTCTCCAAGATCGAAATTCAATTTCTTGTATATTAAATGGCATGTAGAACATTGTACTTTTCTTAAACATTCTTCTTTATGCTGAGTTTCTACTGCCTGTAATAATTGGACTGCCCAAATTTTGAAATCTTTCGCATCTGTAAAATTTATACGAGAACTACAGTTCACTCCGGAAGACAACACTTCCAATTCTTTAAACCAAAAAATGTTTTTTTTTATTATCTCCTGAGCAAGGAGGTAGGGCAAACGATCTTGTTTCAGACCCAAAACCTGCTGTATATAATTTAAATGACTCCTCATTGTATACACAAACAAAGGTCTAAAGCCTAATTCCAAATAAAGAAAATAACTTGGTGTATAATAGGGAGCGCCAAACAACTTCTTAATAAAAAAACAAAGAAGTTTTTCTACTTCATACTGATGGTAGCTCCATACTTGTGACGCATAACACATCACAGCCCTAGAGACGGAATTAAAAACTTTAAATTTACTTTTTAGAGGAACATCTCTGTTGAGAGTACCATTCCAGGTTATATTTAATCCTTGTTTAGCAACCCTAAGTTTATTGGCCAAATGCATATTGAAGGAAATTAGAGGAGTCAACGTTATACCTAAATATTTGTACTCTTTTTACTACCTCTATTCTTTCATTTTCTAAAAACCATCGTTCGTTCTTTGATGGTCTACCGCCATTTCTAAACACCATAATCTTAGTTTTATTCAAATTTACTGACAAATTCCACATTCGGCAGTATTCTCCCAACCTGTTTAATATCTTTGAAGTTGAACCGGTTCAGTTCTATATACATATTATATACTATGTGCAAATTGTTGTAATGAGACAATGGAACGGAAAAAAAAAAACAAATCCAAACACCTGGGACTTATTGAGATTGAGAGTCCAACGCCGATGACATTTAGGTCTTCTTGGATTTGCGGGATTGAGATTTGGAGATTATGAAGTGAAAAGATTTTTTTAATGGCAAACAACTATGATCAAAGCTGGTGCAAATTGTTTTTATCATTTGCTGTGTTTTTACCTACCTAGTCCTGTGTACTAATATTTTATATTATAAATGTTTACGCTTATATTTTTCATTAAATGTTGCTATTAAAATAACTATATTTTTTTATATTTTCATGTTACAAAAAGGAAATGCAGAACTAACACCTAACGCAACCACTTCTTTAATATTTATATACACGCTTGCAGGGGTAACGAAAAACTCATGAGTGATGGTTCCATGTGATTTTTAACCAAAATTTGTTGCAAAATAAATGACAAAAGAGAAACAATTAACACCCATGTGATCAGAACATATTAATTAAAATATGTGAAGCAAGTTTCTCAAGGGCAAGTAAGAAAAATTAGTGGTCATCATGGCTGGTAGAGTAAGTGGCTTAATGTTTATTTTTTTCACTCGGCTTACACTTTTGTTAGTTTATTGCTTTAATAAAGCGATAAATATTTTATTGACTTTTAAATAAACTTCATGGTAATTGTGATCTGAATAATATTTGTTTTTGAACCCCTAGGGGCTTGCAAAGTATGTTTGCAAAACATGGACGTCGTTTCTTAAGCCGAAATTAGAGGTAGATATCCTTTGCTATTTTTTTTTAAATAATTTTTTATTTAATGTCATTAATATATAATTTATTTGTTCAAACTCTTGGGTTTATCTATTGTAAAATATACAATAGTGATGTTAATCACGTTTTTATTTTAAATTTTCTGATTTTAGATAACAAATTTCTCAAGGAATGTAAGCATTAAGAACAAATGCCCCAATGACACCGTCGATTGTATCAATCCGTGTTTATCGCAATGGCAGAAAGTGTGCGACAAGCCAAGATTGAAATGTCCACCTTGTCCGAAAAAGCCATGCCTCCCTCCGATACACATGTGCCCATATGACGATCCGTGTTTCCACTGTCCTTATACCCCACCGCCATGCCCTAAAACGAAGGATGCTTGCTGCAAACGGGCCTGCTGCCCTCCTTACAACCCCTACCAGTTCAGGGATGTCTGTTGCTTGCCGAAACATCCAAACAGAATAACCGACGCTATGTGCCCCGAACACTGTAAAGTGAAGAGAAACGAATGCTGCCCTTGTCAAGTTTGTACTTGTAAAGATCTCAAGTGTGAACGTTCGCACAATTTCACTTGTTGTCCGCCAAAACTACCAGAGAAAATGCATTGCTGTACAAACATGACAGATAAGAAAATTTGTCCCAAAGTTGCTGAATGTGGAGAACCAAAGTGTACTATCGAAGTGGTAGGAAAAGCTTGTAAACCAACCAAATAAATGTTTGACCACTAAGAGTTTTATTATTTCAATATTTTAAATTATATTTCAAATTCCTATTCTATAGTTTGATCTGAGTTATATAAACTCAAATCTGCACGTGCTTGTATATATGCACATATGCAATTCCAGCTTTTGTACTTTACAATGAATCACCAGCAGGCCTCGAGAATCACCCACCCCGGGGTCAGACCTTAGTCTAATCCAGCAGTTCCCAAACTTTTGCCATTTCCATATTCTCTGCATGAGTTTTATGATAGTAATTCATTTTCAATTCAAGCATTGATATATTTAAACCTCTTAGCAATAAAGAAAGATGTAAAGAAATGGGAATCCTCTTCTAGACCCTCCTGAAAAGAAGAAACCCTCCTAACCCGGCTTCGAATTGGCCACTCCCGACTCACCATAGATTCCTCCTTGAAAGAACTCCTAAACCTATATGCCCACTCTGTAAAACTACCATCATAATATCCCACATCCTAATAGATTGTCCTTTATACACCTCTAAAAGAACCCTCCATCAGATTCCCAAAGACCTCCAATCCATACTAAGCAACAACTCAACATCAATAAACAAAATTTTTAACTTCTTAACAGACATCCAACTAATTGATAAAATCTAATATCCCATCCCCTCAACTCTTGTTTCCTTTGCTGGTTCCCCATGTTGGCGGTGTGGTGCGGCTGACTTCTGGCGACGCCCGTGCGGGGCCTCGGGTGCTGGTCGGTCTTGGGCTGGATTGAGGGGTGCCTCCCCGGACTCTGAGGTCAAGGAATCTCCAGCGAGCTTAGAGGAGGTGTCGATGGTGACTAGACACCGACCCCTCCTCGATAAAGTCCTGCGCGCAATATTAAGACTAAAAGCATCAGTTGCGAGAGATCCGTGGGGTTCTGTTCTTTCCAGGCCTGGGGCTGCCATCGCTCTGAGGGGGCCGGGCTGCTCCGTTGACTTGCAAAGACTGAAGGCTTAATGACCAATAAGGTTGCAGCCTTTAAATTATTAAAAAAAAAAAACCTTATTTTGTCTGCAATTTTCTTTAAAAAATAAAACTACTTACTTAATTGTGAAGTTGAAAAACTTGCCTTTTGAAAAGGGATTACGCGTTTAATAGCAAAAATATAAAAGCGAATACATTTTTGGTCAATAATATAAAATACACAATTGCAACTGTCTCGTTAAAATCCATATTGAGATTGACTGGCCACCAGGTTCTTATTTTATAGGGTTTTATAAAGGGGTTTAGTAACAGTTTTTATAGAAAATTATTATGGTGCCCTTGTAGCACAGCTGCGGTGCTTTCGGGAAAGATAACCAACCGCTTTGATTTGCTTAGTGTGTATGGGAGGTAAATCAACCAATGAAGGGGTTGGCCTTGGTCTTCTGATGGTAACATCAAAAAGGTTGATGTTGACTGCGATTCCACATGGCTGAATCCCTTGACCACAACCCGTTGGTGTGATTGAGAACGATGGCCAATGTTCGGCCCGATAGATTGTCTTTCATTGGCCGAGATTTGCTTAGTGTGACGTGCAGCCACTGAAGTTGGGCTCTGAGTGCTCTGAAAAGCTAGGTCTTTTCAGTACCCATCGCAATCGAAACCCTTCAAACTCACTCTCAAATACATTCTTTCTTATTTATATACCATTCACTATTAGGGCAGCAAAGTACTCCAGTACATCATCTTTACACCTGATATAACTAGACTAAGGATTCATGGGGTACTCAGTATTCCACAATGAACCCTCTCACATGCCACATTGACATTAATAAATACATTCACTTTCAACACACATTAGGCGTAGTACACACTGGGATTCTTCATCGACTCTTTGAATCTCCGGAGAATCTCGACTGCATCTAGCCTGAGTCGGGGCTGCCCCGACTAATTGTTCCGATGGATCTGGTGGTTGCGGGCTAGCATTTTCAAACTCTTTTGAATCCCATCCGATGTGGGATTCTTTGACTCAATGTTGCGCAACATTTGCCAGTGTGGATGTGAATCGGTACAAGCGCTCTTACTTCATTTGTTTAGTTGACGTTGTAGTGAGTGTTTCTGAAATAAAAAAAAGAATTCTGAACCCTGCTCCATCATTTAATCTTGTGTCCAAAAGATTTTTCCCATGCTGATTCCCACCGTGAAATATTTGTTGAACCTACCATCTTTTTGGGCATTTTTTTTAATGCACCTCCGATTGGATTCACTATGTACAATGCAAAAAAGAGCAAGGGAAATTCCTTTAAGAGCTAGTTCCTCCGTCATTTTCGCAGGCACTGATGAATGTGAACTGAATCTTGGTCTGGACACGGTTCTTTGTCACGGAGCAGAGTCGGGGATGCATCACAACAATGAATCTACGCAGCCCCAACTCTGCCCCGCAACATGAATCGATTCAAAGAATCTCAGTGCATACTAGGCATTACGATAGACAACAATATTAGCACTTTATACAACCTTGTTTCTTCCAAGAATCAGAATAGAAGACCCAGACATTCGCTGCTTCACTCAAGAACAATTCTTATATCGGGTGGCATTCCAGCACACTTTTTTATGGTGCCAGGATTAACACCCTTCTTAAATGGGACACATCAAGGAACTGCATTCTTGACACGTGGGCTTTGGCACAAGAGTAAGTGCACGTGTGTAAACCTCACACGGCCTATTCTTAATTGTTTGAGGATGACTTTTCTTGTTGGTCCTCTGAGGGCCACCAATCGTCAGTGCTCTTGATACGCGAGAGTTTCTCTGCCAACCCTGCCCACTGGCACCCGCATTCCTTCAATCATGTTTTTTATTGCATTTTTAGTTTCAGAGGGGTGGATCGCGATAGTTAAGGGAGTTAAGGGTTAGGACGCCTTTTCATTTCCCTCTCTAATAATCTAATAGTAGAAATCTAATATTTCTACAAATTTGTGTACACGAGTAGGTTGTGAGTTTTCCTATTGAGGTCTGCGGAGTAATAAATCTGATGTTTAGTTTGCCGTTCACTGTTGGTCAAAAAATCATTTTTATATGTTAATCTTTTTCAAATCAGTTTTCTGACAAATAAGCGAAGAGTAAAATTTAGTTTGCTGTTGTTGAGGAACTATATATATTATGCAGGGTGGGCAACCAAGACCCGAAGGGTTAAATGCCTGGGTAGACTCGTACCCCATCCCTAAAAGGTCCGGGACTTGGTCGGCTCACGAGTCCTGCATAAACCTCTTTGACTTGTTCACAAACCCCAAGATTTTGGACCATTTTATCTCGGGGAATGATTTGGTGATGTCCTCTCCTTCAAAGATTTCAAATCTAGGCCTAGCATACCTATCACACTTTGTGAGGTAGTGCCTTGCCGTTTCTTCTTTTATTTCACAGAATCGGCAAAAGGGATCTGGTAGAGTACCCATTACGAAGAGGTGTCTTCTCAGTGGGCAGTGGCCCATCAGAATACCTATCAGCCTCCTAATTCCCTTCCTTGAGATAGAGAATTGCCATTTCGATTCTGCTGGTTTGATCACCTTAACAAACTCTTTCGATTGCCTGTGTCCGGGGGATAGATTCCACTCCCTAAGGAACAGTTTCATGCCCCAGTTATTAATACTCTCTTTCGCTGTGCTCATAGAGTGAGGTAATACCGGTTGTGGCCCGACAAACGCAGTATTAGAACCTTCTTTGGCTAGGCCATCCGCCTTTTCATTGCCATGGTGTCCTTTATGTGCTGGGATCCAAATATTGGTTACCTTATTCTCAAACCTGAAAGAGATCCTATTTATAAGATCTATAGTTTCCTCCACCAGTAGTGAGGTTGACAAATCTTTTTGTAATGCCCTAAGACTAGCCTGATTGTGAGAAAAGATTTTTATATCTTTTCCCTTAATTTTATTTTCCATAAGTGTTCTACAACACACATTGTTGGCCCAGATTTCCGCCTGAAAAATGGAGGTGTTATTGCCAAGAGGGGAGGAGATGCTGATTCCTAATTTGGGTATGTAGATCCCTGCACCACTCCCTCTTCCTTTGATAAGTGGTCTATCTGTGTAGCAGTCTATGTTACGATGGACATTATCCAGACAATAATTATAATCACGTGACTACCTGAAAGTGCTTTTTCTCTGAAGGGGTTTTAATCTTTTTATCACTAACACTTAATAATTGACCGTTAACCTTACTCAATAGTTGTGAGATTTTCGAGTGACCTATGTTATTGCACTTATGATTCCAGCCGCCCTCACTAATTAATCTGTAGCAGCTGAATAGTGCTCTGACCCCTAACCATCCCTAACCTCAATGTGAAGGGGTGTGGTATTGGTTATGATTTCAAGTGCTAGGGTGGGTGTAGTTGAAAATGCTCCTGTCATCATCAAACAACCTAGTCTTTGAAATGACCTTAATTTATTGCTATTCCATTTATTTTCTAGACCTTTCCACACACTAAAGCTGCGAAAAAGAATCTAGGTAGAATAATTGCAGTATATAGCCATTTGGCTACCCATGGTTTGATGCCCTATGTTTTACCGACAATTCTCCTACATTGTACCATTGATATAGTGCCTTTCCTGTATATGTTATTAATATGACCTTTCCAATCAAGTTTCCTGTCAAGTGTCACACCAAGGAATCCACTAACTTTAATTCTATGCCCTGAAATTTAGGGTTTTTAAAATTACCTAATGTTCTTCTCCTGCTAGACATTTTCAATTCTAGTTTAGCAGGATTAATTGATAAACCTTTGTCACAACACCACCTATAAAGCAATCCCATGGCATTTTTCATCAGTAGTGAAAGAGTCAACGGATCCCTACCTATGAACATTATTTACCACCATCTGAAAATAATTGACTGTAGAAACCTGAATTATTCAGAAGTTCTATTAAGCTGTTTACTGTAATTAGCCATTAGCCGATAAACAACCTCCCTGTGGATAGCCTCCTTTTACATTAATTCTAAGACTACCACCTAAGCACATATTGACCATCCTCCCCTCCAAGAGGAACTTACTAAAACATATAAATAAATAAAAATGAGTATGATTCCAAAACTTTTATTGAGAGCACAATTAGCAGCTAAAGCCAATCAATCATATTCCACTTCAGCATAGTCCATCATCAAATTTGTGTTTGTGTGGTTTGCAATCTCTTTGGCATGGGGTGCAAGGATCTTTCTGTGGTTTTTTACCACATGATCTTTTGGGGGGCCAGTTCGAGTCCAAATTGAGACATATCTGGTTGGACGATTTAGGCTTTTTCCTTTCACACTTGGTCCTCCTGGGACAGGGGCCTTCGTCACAAGCGTCCCTTTTCATTTTATCTGCACAACAGTCGTTCTCCTCTGCTCCCATCAGATCACAAGCTGCACCTTTGACATCGCAAGGGTGAGTGGGGCAAGGCCTCTCTAGAGGATCTCCACCAACATCAAATTCATCGCATGTAGCTAGTTTCTCTTCCTTTTTGCAGCAGGGGACCCTCGAACAGCAAGGATCATTGCACGCGCCTTCCTGGTCGCACCTGTGTATCCTAGGTGTCGGCGGTTCCTTACAGCATTGGTTTTTGCCAAAATCGTCATTCGGGCAACACGGCCGTTTGTTGCAACATTTCAGCTCCTTTACAGGAGGGCACGGTATAGCGTTACACTTGTGGGTGCAACAGGGATCTTTAATCCGACAGCTAACCGGGCAGCATTTTTCAATACAAGGCAAGTCATCACAAGGCTTCTGTTCGGGTTTGATATAACCGCATTTTTGCGGTGGAAGGGTTATACCTCCTGGTTTCTTTTTCATAAAAGCCTGGGTAAATTTTTGTTGGCTTAAAGAAGAACAAGTGCCTTTTGTAGATTCACAGAGGGTCTGCCCTCCACATGAGCTTTCGTTTCGAACTTGGCCTACATTGTTTGGAACCTGAAAAATAAAAATATATTATTTTACCTAAAGTTTAAATAATAATTGGCCTATTTTGATCTTTTCTTACTGAAAGTGAAGATTTATTTGAATCAAACAGTGATTTAACCGATTGTAAACACGCCTGGCTATTATTTCTCACGAGTGAAGTGCTGAGCACACCTTTTACTGACTGTAACAGAAACAACTCAAAATAATGAATTCAATTATCCTTAGCTATTTGTAAAATAATGCGTACATTTGCCAGAATTTCTGGATGAGAGGTACTGCCCAGTATTCCAAAAAGCTGAAGAAAACAGTGTTTTATATTAGATCTTTAGAAATAAAATTAAACTTTAACTTAAAGTAAACTTAATGTTGTGTTAAATATTGCAAATAATTAACATTGGTAGGCACCAAGTATTTCAGTTTCAAGGGATTGCAATTAATGTAATATAAAATGTCTAATCTACCACAGGCGAAATTTACCTTTGCAGAGTTTGGAATCATTTTTTTGTGTAATTTTTTGAAATTTTCAACTTGAACTTGTCATGCCTTGCAAACAACTGGTACTCACTTAGGAGGCAGCTGTTTAAACATTTGTTTTATAATTTATTCATATGTACCATAAAATTAATTAAATTTGAGATCAAACTGCACTCAAAATGAACTCTGAAGTCAACATCAAAGTTTATTCTGCTAATCCAAAGTTTAAAAAATAAAGAGTTGTTGAGTACTCCTTGTCTAAGAGAAATAGATGAGTCAAACAAATACAAGTTGTTTAGAAGAGAGAAGATAATACAAATCTCTGTGAGAGGGAAATTTCACTCCTTTCAGTTCTGCTTGAGGTAGAAAGAACAACAAATATTAAAATAAACATGTAAGAAGATAAAACAGAAAGACAACAGTGGAATACTATGCAAATTACTAATGAAAAATCTTGAACAAATCTCATTTTTTTAAAAATAAGTTAATAATTAAAAACTTAATTTGGTGCTACAAATATTTTAAATCTAGAATGTGGGTTATGTTTTTAAACTAATCCCTCCATGTCTTAAACAAAATATTGCCATAATAGTCAGCTAAATGATTTTTTTTTATCAGAAAGAATCAAGTGAATATGAATCTCACTTATGATTTTGTATTTTAGATTATCAGACCCTTTTAAAGAGAAAGTAAGAAGAAGTGCAAGGCAGAATTTTGTGAGATAAACACTAATGAATAACCTTAAATACCTAATTACTTAGAATAGGTATAAAAATTGTAATTATTACAATTTATATAAGGTTACAAATAATTCTTATAGAGAATAAATAAATCTGCACTCAACAGGTCTTGGCACAAAGACATACAAAAGAGATAATAAATTAGGCCCATTCTTGAGAATAAATTGCTGTTTAGCAGCAGTTTTATTTTTTAAAAGTCTAATGAAATTATAACAGTAGCGTCAGATTTTTCTCTTTCTCCTCTGTATGTCTTTCTTTTTTCCTCACTCTCTTTCACTGTTACTTTCTCACCTCTTTTTTTTACTCTCACTTTCCCTCTTCTAATAATTAATTAATTAAATTAATATGTCCAAAATAAACTTCAAAAATATTTTATTAAAATGTTATAAGTGAAATGCATGCACTTATTTTACTTACGATTAGCCATGTTCATTACTTTTTTTACAGCATTGTCTTCATTTAATTTTAATTGTAATTTTTGTTTGTTTTTTTATTATATTTTAGTACGCTTTCTGATGTAAATAATAATGTTAGTTATTACAGTGTGATTTACCTTACACAGGCTAATGGTTAATTTTTATTGTTTTATAAAGCAGATTATTTAATGTGTTTTATATTATAACATTTATATGTAAATTATAACTCACGTTGGATGTAACAGAGGTCCAATAGACCCAATTTTGCATAGGTAAATAAAACCCTATCAATCAATCAACCTCTCTCTTTCTATCCCACTTTCTTTCTTACTCTCACTTTCTCTCTCTCTCTCTCTCTCTCTCTCTCTCACTCCCCTTTTTCCCTCTTTTTTATCCATATATGTTCATACATTGTACACATGTTTTTTCTAGTACATATTATATTTGATATTAGCTTTCTCTTTATTTATTCTTTTGCTTACATAAATTTTTATTCTTTCTTTCTATCTCACTCTCACTTTCAATTTCTCACCTCTCTTTCTTACTCTCGCTCTCTCTCTCTCCCCCCCCTTTTTTCCTGCTTTTTTATCTTGTAGGTTCATATATTGTATTGATATATTTTTTTTCTAGTCCATATTATTTTCACTTTATTCTTTTGGTTATTTAAATTTTTATTAATTATCTATCGGTTAATTTGCTTTCTTTCTTAATTTATTTATATAATTATATGACTTAAAAAAAAATATATATATGTGGTGAGCTTATAGAATATTTATTCGTTTTCTCAGATTTGTTTAACAGATATTACAATCAGATCCATGATCCGTAATAACTTTCTTTACCGATGGACCATGAATTTATAATTTAATTGAAAACCTTCTATGTTTTATTTTATTGTTTTAAATGATTGAGAGATGCGGTCTGGTGTGACGTAGGTTTTAGAAAAACATTTTCTTTATCATGCCAACGTTTCAACCTTTATTGAGATCATCTTCAGGTCCTGGTATTTATAAACATTGTTTAAATTACACAAATACATGTGGGATGTGAAAAAATGAATTTATACAATGCTAGAAATTTCATTTTTTGACATCTTATATGTATTTGTAAATTTAAACAATGTTTATAAATCCCAGGCCCTGAAGATGATCTCAATAAAGATTGAAACATTGGCATGATAAAGAAAATGTATTTCTGAAACCTATGTCACATCAGACTGCATCTCACAATTTCCAAATAATCATTAACTAATGATCACTAAACACCACACATTTATAATTACTGTTTAATTATTATTTAATGAGGTATTATTTTAGTACATTGATAATAAATAGTAAATTTAAAACTGAACAGTGTGTTTGGTAATAATTGGAACAGTAATATTGAAAGCCTATCAGTCAAGTTGACCGAAGTTGGATGTTGAAAGGTTATCTTTCAACAATGACGATGAAAATGATGGGTCATAATCAACAATGATTTCACAAAAAAATTAAATGCCAATTAAAGTGTCTTATCAGACTGTTTTTGACTGCATCGAAGTTCTAGAAAAATATCTCTGCTAATTAAATGTTTATGATATAGTGTTGTTAAAAAGAACTAGAAAAAAACACTTTAATTAATTGTAAGTACTATAAACCAAGAACTCCACACTTTCTTGATTACTTTACTTTACTTTTAAAATGGTATAGAACAGGGAGGATTTTCGATCTGATCTCCTTCCGGTTTTTCGTTCTGCCAAAATAACATTGTAATACGCTTTGTCTTTTTAAACAAGAAGACACAAAAATGCTTTTTTATTGATTGGTTTACTAAATGAATTGAAAATATTATATACATTTTCGTCCTTCTCAAGAGAAGGTTGGCTTTTCCTATGGTTCTTTTTCACTTATTTAAATCTTACCAATTATATTTTCCTTATATGCACAGCAAAGAATGAAACATTTCCTCGATTAATAGAATATTGAGGTATAACCAGGTATAAGCCAGTTTGAAGATCAATTTGATCTCCCTAGTGGTGGACCGGATTTTTTAGATTTCGACAACCAACGACTTCCAATTTACTATATACAAATATCAAAGAGCACGGGAAGTTCTAGATTTAATAAAATCTACAGAAATACAATCTTTATTTTAATTTAAAAGCCAAAATTGTTTAACATTGTTCGCCATCATAATTTTTGTTTTTTTGCTTCCGATGTGCTCCTGTCTGATCACCTGGTTTTTGCACGAAAAAATGGCCAACTTTGGAAATCACAGAACTGCTCTAATTTTTTTAGAAAATTTTTCCCTAAACAAGCCATTCATCAGTACATTCAAAAATTCTGGAACTTTTGTAAATTTTTGCACTTTTTACGAAAACTTTAAATTGGACTGTGGAGCCAGAAAATCTTTCTTGGGGAGGCACCCGGTAGCAATCGATAGGAAATTTTAATAATCTTTCAATTGGTCACCCTTCACTTTGCTTGATTTCTCAACCGTTTTTGAGTTATTCGCGATTTTTGGGCAAAAACGTGGTTTTTTTTACATGCTCATGGAAAAAACCGATCACTGCCTCTTCTCTCCCTCTCACTCTCTCTCACTTTTCTCTCTTATTCACTCCCTCACTTTTCTCTCTTATTCACTCCCTCACTTTTCTCTCTTTCCCAAAAAATTGAAAAAAAAATATAAACCCTCTCTCTCTCTCACTATCTCACCCTCTCTCATTCACTCCCACACTTTTCTCTCTCTCCCAAAAAATGGGGAAAAAAATTATAAACCGTCTCACTCCCCCCCCCCCCCCGATTTTACCATACATAAACCTATTGTTTCAATACGCATTGAAGCCGAACTGCCACAACACTGTGAAAAAGGAAAGAAATTTTATTGAAATGTTAAAAGTTAAAAAAAGTTGAATTTCCGTGATGAGATAAACAAGTTTTTATGGATGGCAGAAGCATTCCGCATCCCAAAAGCGCAAAGTAAGAATTGTCGCTTCCTGTTCACTTTTCGAAAAAAGTCTTCGGAACAAAAGTTGTAGATCGTTGAATTTGCGAAAAAATGACGGTTCAAAATGTATGCATTCTTGAAAATCGGGAGGGAGAGTGATCGGCTATTTTCCATGATGCACGTAAAAAACCACGTTTTAGCCCAAAAATGGCGAATAACTCGAAAACGGTTGAGAAAACGGGCAAAGTGGAAGGTGACCAATTGAAAGCTTACTAAAATTTCCCATCGATTGCTACAGGGCGCCGCTCCAGGGACTATTTCCTGGCTTCACAGCTCAATTTGAACTTTTCGGAAAAATTGCAAAAATTAACCAGAATTTCTTAATATATTGATGAATGTCTGAAGCTAGGAAAACATTTAAAAAAGGTCATCTTGTTCAGTGTAAAATTTTCTAAAAAATGAGACACGCCTAGTTCTGTGACTTAAAAGGCTGAGAAAACCTGCATTTACAAAGTTGGCCATTTTTTTTCGAGCAAAAACCAGGTGGTCGGTTTTTGTTGATTATATTATACATACGTATGTAAAACCTAAATAAAGTGAAAATGTCTTAGGTCATTATACTTCCTAGTGGTATAAGTTTTAAAAAGATTTTTTTAGAAAATTACTAAATTAGCTTGAATGAACAGTGGAGAAAAATTGGTACAACAGGCTTAGGGAAAAACGCAAATGTTTCACATAATTATTATTCCGACCCTTAAATGACGGTTCCTTAGTGCGGTAAAAACAATAAAACGATCCTTTCTAGCCGTCTTACATCGCGGTCCACCACCTTCTATTCGATCGGGACTTCCTCTGACCCTAAACCGCTTTAAACCATCGTGGTGATTGAGCTCGGCACACCCAGAACTTCTTGGGCTTGGCCAAAGCATCTGCCCGGGCGGGATAACGACTTAATACCATGCTTTTAAGAAAGAAAGTTAATAATTACTTTTTTACAAAAATTTTACACACAAGAAAATAATTTAATAAACCAATTAACTCAATCGACGAGTTAGCTATGCTGGAAAGGAAGAAATTGAACCGATTTTCTTTATTTTTAAGCTAAAGAGTGAAAGGATTAGTATCACTCTAAAAAATAAGTTATTAATCAATTAATTAAGGTTTTTTAGTTGAGATAAAAAAGTCAGTGTCACGAGCGGGATTCGAACCCACGATCTTCGGCCAGATACGCCGCTGCTATACCTACTTCACGAGGTCACGATAGCTCAAGTGGTAGACTTTTTTATCTCAACTAAAAACCTTAATTAATTGAAAGATATTAATTGGTCAAGCGGACCACGAAAATTAGTGAATTTAATAAGATATTAATGTGGTGTTTACATTTTAAATCGACTATTAATTTTTATACCTAGTTATTATGGAAAATAAATAAATACAAATGTCCAATTTTTTTTTATCTTGGAGTGTATACAGGGTGTTACAGGGTTAAATGTCAATATCTGCCATAGTGGCACTAAATGAAATGCAGTTCAGTGCCACCAGAACAATTCTATCTTGGCTCTTTCCTGAGATATTGATAATTTTGTGATTTAAGCCTAAAATCAGATTTTTTTAAACATAAACTCGTAATATCTCAACTTAAGCGTCAAATACAAATCTGACCTTTATTTGGCAAACTACATAACATTTTCCACAAGATAAAAATTCCGTTGAAAAATTCGCGCTTTCGAATGCACAGTAGCCGCTCAAAGAATAGCAAATGGCAAATGTTTTTTTTTTGTAAATACTCAATTGTGGCTCTTGCAATGAATTTTCCATAAAAAATTTCGGGGATTTCACCAAAGTTGCCTTATCTTATAAGTATTTGAAGGACATACTTTTACATATTTTAGAACTTTTCTTAGTGTAATCAACTTTGCAAGATAGAAAAACGTGATATCGAAACCAAGGAGAGCAGCAAGAAAGAACATCGTACATGCCATATTTTTAATGAGAACATTTATTAGTTGGTAACAAAAATCCCTTCTTCTCAGAAAGTTTACATAATTAAAGAAAAATTACAATGAAAATGAACCTTCATTAAATTATGCATTTTTTTGCAAATTAACTGATGCATTGTTCGAAAATAATAAATGTTTTCAAACAAATTGAATTAGAAAAAAATACGTAATTTAATGAAGTTTCATTTTCATTATAGTTTTTCTTTAATTATGTAAACTTTCTGAGAAGAAGGGATCTGATTTTTGTTACCAATTAATAAATGTTCTCATTAAAAATATGAAATATGTTCTTGTCTTGCTGCTCTCCTTGGATTCGATATCACCCTTTTCAACCTTGCAAAGGAGATTACACTGAGAAAAGTTCTAAAAAAATGTAAAAGTGAGTATGTCCTTGGAATGCATATATGATAAGACAACTTAGGTAAAACCCCGAAAATTTGATAGAAAAGTCCCTAACCCCAACGCACATCCCAACCATCCCTAAACGATTTTCTTTAAAAAAATCTGAAAAATGTAACTCAGGAAAGAGTCAAGATAGAACCGCCGTTTTGGTGGCGTTGAACTACGTTTTATTTAGTGAATCCACCAAGGCAGTATTTACATTTAAACCCGTAACACCTAGTATACTGAAAAAAGAAACAGGCCAAGGATTTTTCCCTGAGGAACACCTCCCCTTATCCGAACACAAGGTGAAAATTACGTCCCCTGACTTCTTCCATTGGAACATAAAAGCTGTTCATTACCCTTTGTGCTAAATCCAAGGAATTTTTCCACGTTGTGGACGGGTTTTGTATGAGACATTGAAACACCCTGTATAGCGGAGGAACAGAAGTTAAACTAAAACTTAAAATATTAATTTCTAGGATCTAAACTATAGGAAAAGGCTTTTTTTTTTTTTTTTAATAAATAGATTGATTAAAAGTAAGTCATTAAATTGGACACTTTAAATTAAACATACAGGAGGAATTTATATATAGCTTTAATAAAATATTTAATGTGTGGTGTTTAGTGAATGTTAGTTAATGATTATTTGGAGATCGTGAGATGCGGTCTGGTGTGACGTAGTTATAGAAAAATATTTTCTTTATCGTGCCAACGTTTCGATCTTTATTGAGATCATCTTCTGTGCCCGGGATTTATAAACATTTTTTAAGTTACACAAATACATGTCAGATGTGAAAAAAGTGAATTTATACAACACACATTTATTTTTTGAGTCTAAAATTTCTAGCATTGTATAAATTCACTTTTTTCACATCCTACATGTATTTGTATAATTTAAACAATGTTTATCAATCCCAGGCCCTGAAGATGATCTCATAAAGATCGAAACGTTGGCACGATAAAGAAAATGTTTTTATAAAACCTACGTCACACCAGACCGCATCTCACGATCTCCAAATAATTAAAATATTTAATTATTATTTAAAATAATGTAGTTATGTGTAATTCTTTTATTTGACCTTTGAATTAAACCTAAATATTTATTATTTATTAAGTTTTATTCTGAAGTGTGTACTTTGGGGAGCTAGGCCAGGCCTTACTCATCAGGTCGTCCGTTCAAGTCATCGAGTCAAAGGTCAGAACTGGACGTATATGAAAGGTTACCTCGCCCATATGTGAGCCCGCGACTAAAAATACCATGTGCATATATCAACTTATTCCATATGCAGATTCAGACAAAAGGTCAATTATAAGAAAGTAAATGGGAAGTCAATTATTTATGGGACTGGTGTTAAAACCGAATCCCGGGCAGTACTTGTGGGTAGTCAGAGCGGGACGATCGTTGAACGATCGACTTCCAGGGATGTCGAGGAGGGTCGGCTTGTAAACCGACAATCGCACAGGTGGTTGGAGCAGGAGAGAGTGAGAGCGAGGACGGTAAACGGTTGAATAGTGGGGAGCTTCAATTCAAGCTTCAAGGCCTTCAGTTATCAAGAACGAAGATAGGAACTTCAGTCGACAGCCGTCTCCCGTCAGGGCCGGCCACGCGAAACCAACAGGGCCGAAATGAAGTTCGCCGAACACCTCGCCGCGCACATCACGCCCGAATGGAGGAAGCAGTACATCAACTATGAGGTGAGTCTCGGCCGGTTGAACTTCGTCGCTTTTCGACCGTTGATTATTCCGCACGGTGACTTGCAACCGCTTTGCACGAGTCACGAGACCTTCGGACGAGGCCTGTACTTGGGGGTTCTACGCTCCTCGTTTGTTTGTCCGTTGTGTCATCGACCGGGCACCTTCTGATGATGATGTGAAGTTTGCAATTACATACCCGCATAGTTAATTCTATCTATTCGGCTCCCATATTAATTCACTAAATTTTTGGCATGCTTTTAAATTAATAAATCTTGTCTGGTAAAAAGTAATACTATTTCTATTTGTAAATCCTATTTTCTTTCATGGCTGGCATATTTTTTACTTTGAGTAAATAAATCAAATAAATTGTAGAATATTCATCATGTCTAAGTTTATAGTCAATTTTCCAAATGGTAACATCTATCATAAAAAAATACTTATTTGGTCATACATTGCTCAAATTATCAGTTTATAAACTAAGGAATCCTAGGTTCTTAATTTTACATACAATAAATAAAACATAAAGCCTGGTGAAAACTAATACTATTTCTATTTGCAAATTTTATTTTTTGAGGCTGTATTCACTTACTTCTTTGAGTCAATAAACGGTGTAATATTCATCGTGTCTAAGTTTATAGTCAATTTTCTAAAATCTTAACAGTATATCATAAAAAATACTTATTTAGTCATAGTTTGCTCAAATTATCAGTTATTAAACTAATTATCTATCCTAGGTTCTTCATTATGCAGTCAATGAATAAAAAATGAAACCTCGTAAAAACCAATATCCAATTTTTTTCATAGCTGGTACATTTTTTATTTTGGGCAAATAAATTAAATCAAATACATTAATTTTAGAATATTCATCGTGCCTATGTTTCTAGTTAATTTTAAACTAAATTTTCAATTCTAGTTTNCTAAATTTTCAATCCTATTTCTTAATTTTACATGCAAGAAATAGAAAAATAAAGCCTAGTAAAAACTAATAAGATTTTTATTTGAAAAATATATTTTTCCATGGCTGGTATATTTTTCAATTCGCACCAATAAATAAATAAATTAAAATGCATAAATTGTAGAATATTGATCGTGTGTAAGTTTATAGTCAGTTTCCAAATTTTAACAGTCTATACTCATCAAAATATTTTATTTATTTAGTCATAGATTGCTCTGATTATCAATTATTAAACTAAATTATTCATTGTAGGATTTTTACTTTACAGACAATAAATAAAAAACGAAACTGCGTAAAAATTAATATTCAAAAATATATTTTTTCTTGGCTGGCATATATTTTATTTTAGGCCAATAAATAAACTAAAATGCATAAACTGTATAATATTTTATAAGTTTATAGTCAATTTTTCAAATGTTAACAGTATATCATAAAAAATACTTATTTGGGCATACATTGCTCAAATTATCAGTTAATAAACTTAGGTATGAATCCTAGCTTCTTATTTTTACATTCAATAAATTTTTTAAAAAATCAGGCCTAGTAACAAGCCTTAATTTATAAAACTAATACTGAAAGTCCAATTTTTTCATAGCTGGTACATTTGCTATTTTTACCAAATAAATAAATTTAATTAAATACATTAATTTTAGAACATTCATCGTGCCTATGTTTCTAGTTAATTTTAAATTAAATTATCAATCCTAGTTTCTTAATTTTACATACGTAAATGAAAACTTAAGCCAAGGAAAAACTTATAAAACTTTTATTTGAAAAATATATTTTTTCATGGCTGGTATATTTTTTAATTGGAACCAATAAATAAATAAATTAAATAGCATAAATTGTAGAATATTCGTCGAGACTAAGTTTATAGTCCGTTTTCAAGTTTTAACAGTCTATCTTCAACAAAATTTTTTTTTTTGCACAGATTGCTCAAATTATCAGTTCTTAAACTAATTTATCAATCGTAGGATTTTCATTTTACAATCAATGAAAAAATAATGAAACCGCAAACTAATACAGAAAAATACATTTTTTTATGGCTGGCATATATTTTATTTTGAGCCAATAAAATAATTAATTAATTTAAATACATAAATTATAGAATATTCAACGTGTCCATAGTCCAGTTTATAGACCATTTTCCAAATTTATTTATAAAAAATATAATTTCTTTATTTAGCCATACATTGCTGAAATGATCAGTTATTAAAATAGTTATCAACGTAAGTTCTTCATTTTTCGGTCAACAAATAAAAAAATATTTTTTTATGGTTGGCTTGAGCTAATAAATAACTCAAAATGCATAAATTGTAGAATGTTTATCGTGTCAAAGTTTATAGTCAATTTTACAAATGTGTGTATCAGTAAAATATATTTTTTAAGTTATAGATGCTCAAATCATCAGTTATTAAACTATATAATCAATTTTATCTTTACAGACAGGAAATAAACAATGAATTCTGAAAATATTCCTTTCAAAAAGAGAAAATTTTTTTTCACTGCAATGATTAAAACTACAAGTTTGATTAAGCCTTAAGCTTAATTCTAAAGAATACTATACTTCGTATCAACCATTAAGTTGCCAGAGTTGAAACCTTGTTCAATTTAAGTTTATTTATGATTTAGAAATAAAATAAATAAATTTAATTTTAAGTTTTTATATGTGGATTTTTTCTTATTGTACTCATTTTTTCTATATGTAAAACATTTTATTTATCTATCTTGTATTTTCTATTATTCTATTTAAAGTTGCAAAAAATACAAAAGAGACAAATGAAAATACATCAATAAGTTCAATAGTCGAAAAAATTGATTACATGTTAAGTAAAATGCTTTAACGAAAAGTGTTTGTTTTATAAAGTCTGACCATTTTAGGATCAGGATCCGCCTGATTTCGCCGTTTTTGGTTAATGAGTTTTCTATTTCACCAGTCGATTGTACCGGTTCATTTGCCTGGTTATGAAAGATTTTTGTCCGGACTTGTACTTTGTCCGTCAGAAGTTGAAACACCCAAGATTTGAAAAAATTTACAAAGTGGCTAGGAACATCCTGCTCTGTACATGTACTTGCAGGTCCTCTTGAAGCCTGGGATTATCTCAAGTACAAAACCGTATTTAAGTAATTTTTTTTCAACCGGGATCCCTTGACCGTAGTTTGGTTTAAAATAAGCGATCCGCATGTCGTTTGTGGTGAAATTTAAACATTGAAGATTTATTATATGTAACAAAAAGAAAAACCTCAAGGCTTACAAGTTATATATAAACCTTGTTAATTCTCCTGACGAGTTGCTTTATAAGCAGGAAATAAAGATCAATAAATACAATTTGTACGAATTATTTTTGTTTTAGACGTAAATTAATTAATAAAAGCAAAATTAGTTATGCGTGATATGAAAACAACACGATAAAATCAAAAAGATTTCACCTCAATATCCTAAGGTAAATTATAAAAGGGTTTTTCGTCTTTGTTGGTAACTTACAACAAAACAACAAAAATGCGGTCTGTCTTTTTTTGTCTGTCACTGTGTACATACTGCGCTGACAGCTGTACGTTCAACATTCAGCTCTTTCATCAGAGAACAAATAAAATTAATAGTGATTTTGACAGCCTACGAGAGAATAAACAATATTATCTTGCGTCAAGATCATGGGAAAGTGATATAGCTGTTTGTTTATGACACAAGCTCTTGAGGCGTTTTATCAGACGTTATCCCCAGGAAAATTATAGATCTCTGAATTAGATTTAACACAAAAATGTAAATTATTATTTCATATTAATTGAAAAGTCTCTTAAAGATGAAAATTCAGTTATTAAGTATAACACATATCTATTTTTATTAAGTAAAGATTAATCTGATTATTAAACAAAACATGTAGTAAGAATTCTTATCTCAACCATAATCGCGATCTGGCCCGATGACGCTAAAAATGCTATTAAAAATATGATTAAAATGACATGGATTGCTCGGATCGACAGAGAAGCTCTTATGTATCAAGGTTGATAGATGGACTCGGAATATCTGAATCGACGAAGAGCGATACGCGACTAAGAATAGGCCATGCGGGGCCACTGCAGGGCAGAAGACCGCGTATGTTTCCGTCGTGTACAGAAAGTTCTCGATGTGTCTCAGCTTTTATATTGATTGATATCTCGTTTAGTAATGTTTGTTGAGAGTGAATTTATTTATTAGCGTGAATGCGTGTTGTACAATGTACTGACGGTACAATATTGAGTTCTCTATAAACCCTTAATTAGATTAGTTCATAGTAAGTGTAATGAGTTGAGCTTAAGTAATTATGTAGTTAAATAAACAAAAAAAAATTAAAAGGGTTCGCCACGTTTCGTTCGTCACCTTGTAGACCACGTCACAAAGTTTCAGAAAGGTTTTACCAATTGAACATAAACAGAACGAAATAAAATGCCATGGAAATTAATTCGGATAGGGCTTTGATCATTGACAATATATTTTATATACATTCTGTATAGCTTGATCATATCAGCCCCCATCATGTCAACCTCCAATGCATGTGAGGGTCGATGGGGTACTCGATATTTCGTAATCGGCCTTCTCATTCACACAAAAAAGAATTTACACAAACCAATTTATATACATACATAACACTGTAGAACTACATAAAAAGTATATATGATAGTTACTACAGTTATGGGGAAACATACCCGCTTCCCTTAAAAATCATAACTATCCGCTCTCGTGCGCAAGGACTGACTGTCTTTATTTTGGTGCCATGCCTACTCGCTCCCTGTAATTGACCAAGGTGTGGCACTCCTATGCGGATGCGAGGTTTGCCCCAGCAGCCGACCTTGTGTCAATCGGGTATGGCCTATCCACAAACGGGTGAGCACGATCCCTTATGTGTGTTTCAGGCCTTCGGTGGACCATCGCTCAGTCATGCCCTTGACACGCAAGAGCTTCGCGGACAATCCGGAACAGAACGCGGTGGTCCTTCCAACCCGAGCTGTCTGGGTATCCAGATAACTACTAACTAATTATACTACGTAGTACCACATACGGAAAAAA